TTATGCATAGATTCGATGTTACAGAGTCCCAGATCATAATTATAATATGCCAGCTTCTCACAGGAACCCTGGGACCTTGGTTCTGGAACTCCACGGTAACTGCTAGAATATTCATGCTGTCCAATGAACAATGGCGTGAACTCAATGAAGACAGCACCTTTGTCATGCACAGAGTAATTAAAAAACAAAAAATCAAAAGTCTGGTGGTATTTCACAGGCAAACAGGTTATTAGAAAACGAATAATTTTAATATATAATAGGGCAATAAAAATCCACCCTATTAAACAGAATTTTTTAAAAATAATATTTTGATGATCTGATGCTAAAAACAATTTTCTCTCCCATTTACCTACTGTAACCAATATTATTTTTGCTCTATGTAATATTTTTAAAAAACAAATACCTTTCCACCATGAAATAGAATTCTTTGGGTATTTATATTTTGAAAACAATAAAGCAAGCAGAGTTTTCATTAGATACTTAAGTCGAGAGAGCTTTTTATAGCGATGTAGAAAAGATTCTATTTACTCTTTTCACTTACTTAGCGTATCATTTAAGCTATGTAGTACTAGTGCTTCTGCTTCTGTGTGCAGTAATTTTGTTTTTAAAAATTAATGCTACAAGCTGTTCTCGCTTCTATTATGTTTAATATTTTCCTCTCTTGTGCTTTTAAAACTAAGTATCTTTAGCTTTCCTGTTACTATAGTCATCCTTTGACTACTTTCCTTTTCAGGTTGTGCTTTTTAATATTAAATACATATTTCTGTAGTTAATGCTAAGAGTAAGAAATGTATCTTTTTCTTCATATATTAGAAGTCTGATTTTGACCTTAGGACTTTTAAAATTTTGAAGATTTATTAGGAAATGGTTTCCCACTAGAATAGGCCAGAGTCCTTCACACTTTAGAATGAAAGAGTTTATTTACAAGAAAAATAGAGCTTTGATTCTGTTTATTTTGTAAATCTAGTTATTCAGTGGCAGTAACGATGACTTTGGTGACAAGTCAGTAGTGAGGGATCTTCTACAACTTTTTTTTTTTTCATCAAAAACATTTGGCATGTGGAGAATACCAAGGACTCTAGGCATGTTTTAAGAACAAAACTAAAGCCATTTCCAATTGACTTCACAATATATTTTCATAATTATTTGTGGAATTCCCTCCTGGGGTAGAATCATGTGCCTCGTTCAGGGTGTCACCCTATAGCACTCCTTTACTGTTCACCTGTCTTTAGTACTTTCTCCGAAGATCTGAGGCTTTATGCTCACTGCACTTGTCTAGATTTGTAATTTTCTATAGCTCATCTGTTACTATTAATTACATTCACCAAAGGTCACTGTCACCACTATTCCTAATGAAATTCATAGTCAAGATATGGACTATATTGTTTACTTTCACTGTGTTTATGTGTGATAACTAAGTGCCCTATATTTAGAGGTCCCTCCTATTAAAATGTTTGTGGAAACTAATGCATTTTCATTGTAACCTGAAAGATGCTTTTCCTCCACATACGCTGTCTTCCCTTTCACCAGTTGCTGCGAACCTGCAGATGTCTTCTTTTGCTTTTAGTATTTGTCACTTTAACTGATTTGCCCATTTAAATAAAATTGTCAGATGTACTTATTTTTTCTTACAGAGTTCAGGGGAAAAATAAGCTTCACAATAAGTGGTTATTTCTAATTTGTTTCCAAATTAATTTCATTTATTAACATCGAAACTTCCTATGTCAGCACTTGCCTATTGGGCTGTGCCATTTTAGAGAAAATTGTGTGAGAAGACGAGAAACATCATCCTGAAACGTATAAACATCCCAGTGATAGCAAGTTAAACACCTGTGACAGACGTTTGTCCCTGTTGATTCATAGTCTAAAATTTAGGAGAGTTTGGTCAGCATTGTGTAGGAACAGCACTTACTAGCTCTGTCATGGGCCTGTGGAAGTCATTTTGCCTATCTTACTAAATGTCCCACCTATAGGATGGTGGTACTAGGTCCTGCCTCCCAGCATGATTTTGAAGATTAAGAGTAAAAAATATAGTGTGTTAACTACAGTGACTGGCATATAGTAAGTGGTCATTACCATTATTACTAATTTCAGACCTGTGTTAGTGACTCCCGATGGTCTCCAGGTTTCTTCCGGAATTGATTGTGCTAGTGCGAGTGGGAGAATACGCCTGGGAACCCTTTATCTAACTCCAAGATGATCACTCAGTGAGCTGAGAGGACTGTTTTCCAAGATGAGAAGGACAGGCTGCCCCTTAGCAAACTTGGATCCCTCTTGGAGGACCTGTTCTACGCTAGCCCTTGGCTATTCTCTTCTTACTCAGAGTCACTAGACAGGTTATTTTTTGTTTTTGTTTTAAGTCTTCAAAGATAATCTAAAGATCCAGGTAATCATTCACATGGTAGACAATACTGTTTTAAATAATTCAGCTTACCTCAGAAATAGACATTTAGACTTCCTCTGTAGATATCACTTGAATTTAAAATACTCATGGTTATCACTCAGCTGTACTGGTAATACTTATTTAGCATTAACCTAAGCTTGCCATGCCCAGTTTGCCCCTTATCAAGGGCAGGAAGTTAAATATCGGAAGGCAGTGTATTGCATTTCGAGCTAATCTTTACTCCAGGCTGCCAGTCTTCTCCCCACCCCTGGTATTTCTGGTAACGTACATAAGGAATGCCTTATTCTGGTTATGCATGTTCCCTAGCACCTCAGGTCCATTTATGAATAATTGCAAATCTGCAGTTAATAGCAATCTAATCTTTGAATAGGATTCCAGGCACCTTCAATGACTTTTGAATAAAATGCTTCTTTTGAAATAATAGCTCACAAGTCAAATTGTACAAACCTGGGTTTCTTTGACTTGGTGAATTTAGCGCTAGTGCATGTGTTAACCAAGCTGGTAGCCAACCCAGATTACAACACAATTATATTTGCTGTGTATAGTTTAACAAAAAAAATTATGTTTGCAAATTTGCAAGTCTATCTTTGAAATGCACACAATACGTAAAACATTCTGGGCAAAGGTGATTGGTGATTACCATGCTTATCAACCGTCCCCGAATGCCAGTTAAACCCCTTCACACCCTCACTTAATACTGAATTGTCTTGGAATTCAAACCAAGTGCATGTGGTAGGTATCCCAGTTTGGGGCTTTGTCAAGATCTTTCATGTTTTCTATTCTCTTTTACATTTATCCGAGGTACAAATAATTGCATGAGGTTCCCTCCATTTTTATTTTGTAATTCTATACTTCTGGCCCTTCCCCTCCCACAAGGCTGCTTCATATATCCAGCAAAATGTTGTAAGATGTCTGCCCTCCACCCGAAACAGAGCCGATCGTCTCTGACACCTGCTTAGCCTCCTGAGTCTGCTACTGAGTGTCATTTTCCTTATTGGCAACACCACTCACCAGGTCAGCTCTACAGATTCTTTTTAGCCTAACCCAGTCCATTTCCCCCCCATAAAAATGTGTATATCGAGATAACTGCATCACTGTATGTTTGCAGCTTAATCAGCTTGTTTAAAAACCATTCTTGAACACACGAGGATCAGGTTTTTTTAGCGGTGAGAGACCGTTTCAGCCTAGTTACTTGCTGTGGGTTTGAGAGCTTCCGACCCTTAAACTGTTTGTTCTCAGTGTCAGCTTTAGAAGTGAGTGCTCGGCTCTGCTCTGGGAGTTGAGCCCCCTGGCTGCTGTCGATACCTATTTTTCTTAGACTTAAAAAAAAAGCTTACTTTCATAACAGATAAATTACTCACTTTGTTTAAAAACTAACATTATAAAAAAAAGATATGTAGTTAGTGGTCTCCCGCCTCCTCTCCCAGCAGGCTGGTTCCCATGCTGCCCTCCACTAGGTAACTACTGTTCTCAGTTTATGATTTATCCTTCCAGCAACTTGTTATAGAATTAATGGCAAAAATAAAAAATAGAATATTTTTATATAGAAAAAATAACATATGCACAATCTAGAACACAGTTGTTGTTTTTTACCTATTATGTCATTAGTATGTGTCTATATCACTATGTAGGGAGCTGCCCCACTCTTCTTTAAAAAGCTACCAAATATGCCGCCGAGGCACCTAATTTCTGGGACCACACCTCATTTCTAGTTTGCTATTATAAATAACACGGTAAGGAAACACCTTGTGCGAACATGGTGTGCAGGCGTATCTGTAGGGTAAGTTCTCAACATTCAGAGGCCTTTGGATCCAGGCCTCTGGGGATGAGAGCCTCCAGGTTTGACGAAGTGCCGGCAGGAAGGGAACCCCAGTGTAGGCTTTGCTCCTCAGTCTTTTTGCCCGTATTCTTTTTTCCAGACTCTCGGCCTTCTCATTTCTGCTGCCCTGTTTTTGCACCACGTTTGCCTCTTTTTGACTGTACGATCACTCCCAGCTACCTCGAAGCTAACTCTTGACTGCTTTCAATGTCTTCTTTCCAGAAACCTTTGGGTAGTTGACCTAATAAACCTGAGAATTTGACAACTGGGTGGAACTTTTTTCACCCCCGTACCATGGAAGGCCTGACATGAGGATGTCTAAAGGGCAGTCCGCTGTACAAGGTCTCCGTGGTTTTTGCGACTAGTGAAAGCTCTCCATTTCTTCCGCTGGATACTACAAAGCAGTATTTCAAGATCTCGTGTTATACGGCGGTCCAACGCAATCCTCTGCTTGACACTCAAAATTTAATACACACACTTCGTTTTTTCTTTTTGGTTGGAAAGGTTAAGCTCTAAGTTTTCAGCCCAACCTCAGAAACTTCCTTTGGAAAGGAGGGGTTTTTATTGCTCTGTGAAATTCATCAAATTAAATGAAAAGGCTCTGGATTTTATTTGATTTTGCTCATAACAAATTTGTGACACCTCCTCTTCCCCTTTCCTCGATATTTGAGATTTTTGTCGATTGTGCATGATAGAGGAACGCTGCTAAGCTTGCAACTAATGAACTTGAAATGGTTTTGAGTAATTCTGCTTTTTTGGCTTTTTGTACCTAATCAGAATTGATGTGACTGAAGTGCAAATCTTCATAATAATCATGCATTTGCTGGCAGTGATTGGAGGACCACCTTTTTGGCAATCTATGGTAATTCCGTTCACATTGTGTATCCCATGTCATGCATGTTGTCTTTTGCTTGTGTTTCTAATATAGGATAACACGGTTACAGGGTGAAATGTAAAATTATTTTGTTTTTTTCTGAAAACGAAAGGCTCACAGCAGTCGGACACCAACTTCTCTCTAGGGCCTGGTGGATTTCACTAGCCTTCTACGTGGGGCCTTAGGTGCCCCCAGGGCTGGTTCTCAAGGCGCTTTCCAGTTATGACTTGTCACTCCATTTTACTAGTACAGCCGAGGAAACAGCAGGGAGCGTGAGATAACCAATGACGTGGTTAAATCGGCCCTTTTATTCCATTTCCGAACTCAGTTTTTTGGGCATATGCTTAAAGCCGAGTGGCAGATTTGGGGTAGGAAGTTAGCTCTGGCCCCCAAACAGAACCGATGCTATTGAAGCCGGTGCCATAGTGGGTTTTTGGTGTGTGGTGTTTTTTAACAAGCCACGCCCTAGGTTTTCAACCTGACCTAAACTATAGGCTCCCCTCCAGTCCCAAATTCTCTTCCAGAAACCTCTGGAAGAGGGACTGTGATATGTGTGCCATGGAGGCTCAGACACAGGCTCAGGAGCCCGCCTGCCTGAGTCGGCCCCAGCTCCCATCTCCTGTGGGAACGTCACCTGTCAGCTCTCTGCTGCTTACTTCCTCCTCCGTACAATGAGGACAACAGTCCCGACCCCGTCGGGTGATTTTTGTGGATTAAATGAGTAAATATGTGTAAAGCACTTAGAACGGTGCCCATCACACCGTAAGCCTCAAATGTTGCTGCTCTTGCAGTGAGAATGTACCCTCCGGATCTGAGCCAAAGTAGTCTGTCCTCCCTGGCCCGGGTAACCTCGGACCGCTCCCACCACCCGAGCAGAGCACAGTATTTGTCACTCAGTAGGTGTTACCTTACCAGAAAGATTGACTGCTTCTATGCGAACATAGTTCTTCAAAACCAGATTAATGTTAAGGTATAAGGGAAGTTTACCGAGCAAGAGTTTTCCCTCACCTAAGTCACTTTATGATGGTAAATTAGTTACTTGAGGAAGTGAAATTAACACACTTCCATAAGTATTTATTGCCAGAAATTATTTAATGCCCTTTATTTGGGGGGCGGGGGGTGGAGGATGAAGGGATAAAAATAATCTATAGTCAACAAGAAAAAGTTTGAAACTATTTCGTCATGTACGTAATATGTACGTAATATCATTCAGATTCACATCTTTCCTACACGCAGTCTCAACGCCAATACGGTCTTCAGTGAATTCTGACATCTGTAGCTCTCACTAGAGAATTTTATTACTTTTGCTCTCCACTAGGTTAGTAGTTATTTTTTTATATAACTGCGTTTTAAAAATAATTCAGCCATAGAGGAAGGATTTTTCTTTTCCTAAAACTAGATCATAAAGCCTAAAGCCTAAGCCTAAAGCCTACCCCCACTTAAATTTGTTATATGGCTTTGTGTTTTATTCCAAAATCTCCGCCCTCCCCCCCCCCAAAAAAAAATTGATTTGAACCTCTTAAACATAGATAAATAACCATAGTTTTAGCATACTGATGACAAAAAGGAAATGGGATTCTGGCTTGATCATCCAGAAACAAAGCCAGCATCAGGTATGTAGACCTGTCCATCCAGTTATCCTCATCAGTACGGAGCACACGGAGCACTGTTGTACACGAAGTTACGCTTAGGCAACACACATCCCCTGGTTCTTTGGCTTTTGCCTGGCAGTAAATTTGCTGCAGGTATACTTGTTGCCTTTTTTAAATTAGGATTTATACATACATCAGAGATGTAATTTTTTTAAAGGATCAAATATTTTGTCCTGTCTTTATTGATAATTAAGAAAGTATAGTCATCCTTTTTTATTAAGTGTTCTACAAGGAACCCTCGGGCTCCAGGCTAACCTGGAGTGCGCAGACCCCCCAGTCCAGTTTCAGGGCTAGGGAGGTGAGTAGCAGAGGGAAACCCCCCGCCCTGTCTTATTCGCATCACCGGTCCTCCTGTCACCATCAGTGGATGAAAAGGGAGGACTTCAGATCCTGGTGCTCTTTGGGGGCGTAGAGAAAAGGTCTGTGTTCTTTGAGCGGACGGTCCCCAGGAGAGTCCCACAACTGACCGCAGGCCACTGCATTTTTTGTTTTCTTCTTACTTGGCCCTAAGCATTTATGGATGAACATGTTCGTTCAGGAAAGAGCACTATGTGTAGTGTTCCCACTTATCTGTGCGCCAAAATGGAGAGATGGTTTGTTTAGGGCCTAGACGTGAAATTTTCATCTCTTCTGAGGTTGATGTCATAAAATGGAAAACGCTTTCTAAGTCCTCATTCAAAAGCTTTTACTAATATTCAGAAAGCAAATTTATGGCAAACAAACAAAAACAGTGCAGAGGTCTTCATAACGCTGATTGCAGGAGGTCAGCTACCGGGCAGAGGTAAGTGGTTCGTGTCCGCTGCTCATGGAGCACACCTTCTTGCTGCTCTTCTTTCTCTTCAAAGAGACCAGTTTTTACCATTTTGTTTTGTTTGGTTGGGTATTTTTTGTCTTGTTTTTGTTTTCTTTCTTTTTCTTTTTATTAAGGAAAAAATACTTTTATGCACAAAAGTCCACTAGGGCGTGGTTTACATGTTGCAAGAAATAAAATAACACATTTTTGTGTGTGTATTGCTTCCCCAAGGAATATATCCGTTTGGAATGCCTGGGAACTATCTGTTACCCTATCACTCTTCTGAAATGGGCGGGGGGGCATACAGGTTTGAAGGGGACCCACAAATAATCCCCACAGGGTTGCTCTCACTGACATTTGATTCTCGTAAATGTACTAGTTGATTAAATGTGTGTGTATTAAGCCATGAGACACCTTATTCATTAGGTAGAACTGAAGACTTGGTAGTGTAATTTATATCTCATTCTCAAAGTAAAAGACTTAAGAAGTGCAGTTTTTCTTAAAGGTGAACACTAATGTTACATTGTCTTTTCATAGAATTCACTTGTATTAAAAGTATTTACAGATAGTCATAGCCCACATTCTTTGGAAGAAAGTATTTATACTCAAAATAGTACTTTCTATTTTTGCTGAAATTTATAGAACCTATAAGAACACTTTATTATGCTCATAAGAAAACTAGTGTAACAGTTAGTAACCGATATTCTACATTAACCCAAACCATTGAACCAAAACATGGGTCCATTGTCAATCTGGCAAATTGAGGGTTTAAGATCTTTTTTCCACTTCCACCCTTTTCAAACATAAATTCCTTTGGATGCAGCCAGGGAATCCAGAGGGTTTTTCCCTGGCTGTGGGGCAGGCCCCAGGCCCCAGGCCCCAGGAGAGCTTGTCTTGTCCTGCCCAGTCTCTGAGGCCCCGAAGCCCTGGAGGCCGAGGTAAAGGTGTCTTCGCGCAGCTTTCTGGCTGCTCCCACAGAGCGGGTGCACTGTGGCCACCGTGGATGCGTCCCAGGAGGACAGAGAGAGACTGGGAAAGACAGTGTGCCCGCCCTCTTTCATCTTGGGTGTGAGGTGCCAGTGGCAACACTTCTGGTGCTTTTTATAAGCGGAGCAGTTGGTGCCGACTTCGAAGGGCTCATCACCGGGAGAGGCTCGGGATCCCGCTGGCCCCAGCGTTCCCTTCACTCGGCCTCCGATTTCCTGGTAGCTCCCTTCCCTGATCCCTCTCAGTGGGGGCCCGTGTGTCCTTACACGCTCGCAAAACTAATTCCACATGGAGAGTAAGAGAAAGGGAGCGCTTCACCCAGCAGGTGCGTACGGAGCCCCTGCAATATGTGGGGCTCTAGAGAGAAGGTAAAAATCAACTCAGACACAGCCTTACACCCAGGAGCTCAGGGTTGGTGCGTGTGGCCATCACATGACGGGTGAACAGCGTCCTCGGCATGTTTCTGGTACTTGCTTCTGAGCCTGTTCTTGCTCACTTTGGGTCCAAGCCACTTACTAATTTGCCTGGCTTTGCTAATGTTTCTGCTGCTCCTCCTTTCAAAAGGCAACCATTTCCATGATCCAAAGCATTTTCCAGATTTTAAATACAGCTGTGATGCTGTCCAGCCCAGCTGTGCACAGCTCTCTGCAAGGCCAGCCTTGGCGCTCATTCCGTCCGCTGGCCCGCATTCAGGCAGGCCCCTGAATGCCTCGCTGCTTTGGAAATGTGGGAGAGTGTAGGGTTTCCCTCTTGCCAGACAGGTCCTTTGTCATGGGAGCAGAAAGGGAGCCAGCCCGCATTTGGAGTTTCCGCCAGGTGCATCAGGTTCGCACTGCCATAGCTCTAGTTTGTGAACTAGAGCAGAAAAATCTCTTGGAATTCAAGCAGCCATGGTGTTGGTTTTCTCTATGGAAAACAAGTTTTGGATTGGTCTGTCGGGTTTGGAGATCAATCGGGGAAGGAGGACAGCATTGAGGATGGTCCAGTGAGGTCTGGGCTTGATTTTTAAGTTGACCTATTTCACGTTAGAAGCGTAAACACCACCACAGTACAACTTGAAGTTCAGACAGTTGATTCCAACTTTTTTTTTTTTTTTTTAGAGTTGCAGTTTTGCAAGAGGTCATAGAGTTGTGTAAACAAACAGAGGTCTTAAGAATTTTGAAGAAATTGAGGAGCTAAACATTAAGAATTATATCTACTAATTTTACTGCAGTTTTATACATATGAACAAATTGAAAATCTCAGATTTCCTATTTGGTTTTAAAAGTGTAGGCAGATGGCAGCCTAAAAAGCGTCAGCAGCCCTCATTAGTTTGTTTTCATTGTAAAAACTCATTGCCTGCTAAGCCTGGGCTTTGGGAATCTTGTTCCTATAGTCATTTGTTTCTATTTTTAGACTCTTATCATTTTATTGTTGCTTTCTTTCCATCTATACTGGACAAAACTTGAGACTTTAGAAAAGCTAAAGGGGAGGTATAGGAAGGGAGAGATTCTTAAATGATTTTAAATATTAATGCAAGTATATTTCATTTTAAATGGCGGACTTGTATTCGCAAGATTAAATACACGATCTCAGTCCACTCAGCCGCCCTTGTTTTAAATCAGCCCCTTTCCTACTTGGATGTGCTTGCCGTGTTTGTCCCCCACACGTGAACGCCTTCTTCCTTGCCCTCTGCTTCCTAGCTGCTTGTATCCTAACAATTTGGCCTTGGGAACTCTTCTGAGTAGAACTTCTGTCTTCCATTCTCCAGTTTACAAATTTTTGTTTTCAATCCAGTTGCGAATATTTTTCGTCTTTCATCATCCACGCTTTATCGTAACAATGAGTAACAAATTGCGGATATAGAGGTAGAGTTAAAAAAATGCACAAAGAAAAAGACAGAGAACTCTTCTTTGATAAAAACACCAGGAGACAGCCCAGTTCACTATTGCCAGACTCCTGGGATGTGTTAAATGAGCTCACTTAGCTTATGACTCAAATTCATGAAGTTGGACCAGTTGTTTTCTTTTTAAAGATTGCTGTCAACAGTGAGATTAATTTCTGTGTAGCCTCGTCTCTTCAGACTTGTTATGTTGCTCATAAAGGAAAAGAGAGAGGAACTTGCATTAGTTTAAGTATTTACTAGACTGGGGGGCATGGAGAAGAACATATCAGAATGTGAATTGAGTATGTGACTGTTCTGTTTTCCTATTTCAGTTTGTATATATTTTAATTGCTCTTTCTCTCTACCTATTAAAGATTCCAGTGCTGAATATTCAAGTGAAAATTTTTCCTGCACTTTGTACTGTCGCAGGGACCATATTTTCCTGTACGAATTATTTCCGTGTAATCTTCACAGGTGGTGTTGGGAAAAACGGATCAACAATCGCAGTGAGTATTGCTTATGCTAGGACTCAGGTGTGGGGGTCACTTTGCTTTTCATTTGAATTATATGAAATCGCCCAGCCAGCATGGCTCAGTGGTTGAGCATTGACCTATGAACCAGGAGGTCACAGTTCAATTCTGGTCAGGGCACATGCCTGGATTGCGGGCTTGATCCCCAGCAGGGGGCATGCAGGAGGCAGCCAATCAATGATTCTCTCTCATCATTGATGTTTCAAGCTCTCTCTCTCCATTCCTCTCTGAAATCAATAAAAATTGTATTGAATTATATAAAATCACTTGTCAACTAGGAGTTTCCACTTAGTCTTAAAAATAGTAATATCCAAAACTTCAGCTTTATTTATACATGCATACAATGATATGCTTATATTTATGTGATATGCACAAACTTTTATGCACTGTGTTTTTTTGTGTGTGTGTGTGTTTTTTTTAAAGTATGGTCTGCTTTATAAAATAAGCTTGGCCTCTTAAAAGTGAACTCCTCAGTTTGTGCCTTCCCAGTCCGGGCGGCTGCTTTTCCTGAGCTGTTCTGATGCTCCATTGTAGGAACTGTTGGCTGTCAGATTCCACGAGGCTCTTAAAAGCTGGAGCTGGTCAGTATCGAATCCCACTAATCCATCTCCTCTCTGCCCTGCACAGGGAACAAGTGTCCTTTCTCCTTTTCTCCACATTGGATCCGTGATCACATTAGCTGTGATGATCTACAAGAAATCCGCAGTCCAGCTTTTCGAAAAGCATCCCTGTCTTTATATACTGACATTTGGTTTTGTATCTGCTAAAATCACCAATAAGCTTGTGGTAAGCACGAATGTTTTTGTTTTTAATTTTCATCTGATTCTGGTTTTAGGGCCGTAGTTTTCATTCCGTAGTGTCCTGAGAAGTTGTCGAGTTTGCTCTCCTCCGATCAGAATCTCCTGACATCAGTCTGGGAACTGTTGGTATCTTCTGTGAAGCGACAGTGAGATTACCAGGAGCTCCTTGAGCCACTGTAGTTCTCCCCTCTCTCCACAATTTCATGTGCTTAGTTTGCTCACCTGCATTCTTCAGTCTCAGTCTAGACCAGGGGTGGGCAAACTTTTTGACTCGAGGGCCACAATGGGTTCTTAAACTGGACTGGAGGGCCGGAACAAAAGCATGGATGGAGTGTTTGTGTGAACTAATATAAATTCAAAGTAAACATCATTGCATAAAAGGGTACTGTCTTTTTTTTTTTTTTTTTTTTTAGTTTTATTCATTTCAAACGGGCCGGATCCGGCCGCGGGCCGTAGTTTGCCCACGGCTGGTCTAGACACTCAGATTAGGCTCCTGGTGAGATGCGTGCTTGGGGGCCTAGTTGATGGGAGAGCCCTTTGGTGTGTAGCTCTCACACACACTTCGTGTTGTCAGGTTTTTAGTTTGGGAAATTCAACGTATGTTGCTAAAGAATTCTTGAGACTTGCTGTTGGAGCACAGTGCTGGTTTTCTGTGTAGCTCACCATTGCTCCAACACGGAAATGCCCACGCCAGTGATTCTCTTTCTTTCCTAGGTGGCGCACATGACAAAGAGTGAAATGCATTTGCACGACACAGCCTTCATAGGCCCAGCACTTCTGTTTCTGGATCAGTATTTCAACAGCTTTATCGATGAATATATTGTGCTTTGGATTGCCCTGGTAGGTATTGTATTTCGTGATGTGGAGGCTACTTATTGTTTCAGTGGGCCCGTCCTGAGAGATCCATCTTGCAATTGTAATGATTTGGAATGTCAAAGCCTCATTTATAGGACTTTGTGCGAGTTCCTTGTGGCTTCATCTTTGAACCATTTTTTACATTACTTTTAATTCTGCCTGCATTAGGGCTTATAAATTCCATATTTCTGACTGTAAAGCAGGAGTTGGCAAACTTCACCCAGGGTGCCAATGGCCTGGTTTTGAAAATAAAGTTTTATTGGAACACAGCCATGGCCATGCATGTATGTATTGTCCGTGGCTGCATTCATGCAATAATGGCAGAGTTGAGCATTCGTGACAAAGACCGTGTGGTCCGCAAAGCCTGAAATAATGACTGTGTCTCTAAGAAAGAGTTTGTTGGCCCTTGTAAAGGAAGAATCAGTGAGCTCTGAGATGTTAGATTGTATGGAATGGAGGGTGACTCTGAAGAGAAGGGGAGAAAGCCAGAAGCCGCGCCTCTGCACTGTCGACGCTGAGGGCACCCTCGCAGGTCAGGTGACTCTGATCGCCTCTTTTCGTTCCAGGTCTTCTCTCTCTTTGATTTGATCCGCTACTGTGTCAGCGTCTGCAATCAGATCGCATCTCACCTGCACATACACGTCTTCAGAATCAAGGTCTCTACAGCTCACTCGAACCATCACTAGTGATGGCGTCGGTGTGGTATAGGAAACTCGTGCTTTCTGCAGGAAAGAATCTGAACATATTAATGAGAGTGGGGAGGACAAGAACAAGTATAATTTATAATAATCAACGTGGTATAACTTTTATCCTTTGTTACTGGTAACACTCCTTAACGATCCTCTGTGAGAATGGGAGTTTCGAGTCCTGTCCTGTATATTGTACATGTTGATGTACAGGTTTTGGCCAAGCGAGCGTGTGGGGAACAGTGCCATGGCTTGTAAGCTCTCCTGGATTCAGAATAAAATGGTCATGTGGGGCTGATCCCCTTCAGGGGAGATTTCTTAGGTAGAATATTTGCAGGCCAAAAGACGGTTGCTATATAATTTTAACAAATCATCATCGTTTAGTGACATCTTTGATTCATGTCTTCTCAAGCTTTCTTTGCCAAGGAGCTCAGCTCAGGAGCAGATGTCCCCCACTGGCGTGTGAGGGGGAGCTAGTGACCAACACCCGGAATTCGGAGGGAAAGGTTTCCTATCTTGACATCGTGGAGGAAGTCATTTTTTTATTGCTCAAGAAATGGAGTGTCTCACGGGCTGGGACCCTGTCAGCATGCGGAATAATGTACCTTTGTCGATTCATTTTATTTTTTTAAATAAATATATGATCTGAAAGCCAGCGTTTTTCTCAATTTTATTCACTGGAAAAGTAAAGTAAATTTTAATGTCATTTTTCAAACTTGAAGCAAAATTTATTTCTGTTCTTTAATAAATAAGAAAATTTGGTCAGCTGTGTTGTTGTTCTGTCCTGTGACCTTTCTATTTTGTATAAATTATTCAACTTAAAACATAGGAGAACTGTATTCTTTTCCGCTCCTGATAGTTTTTTTGTTGTTGTTGTCATCACCCTGTCCCACCCTCCAAAGACATTTGTGTTCTTTGTATAGGATTGAGGGACCTGAGGGCCACACTCACATACACACACTAAAAAGATGCAATTCTTGGCCCAGCCGGCATGGCTTAGTGGTTGAGCATTGACCTATGAACCAGAAGGTCCCAGTTCGATTCCTGGTCAGGGCACATGCCTGGGTCCCCAGTGTGGGGCATGCAGGAGGCAGCTGATCAATGATTCTCATCACTGATGTTTCTCTCTATCCCTCTCCCTTCCTCTCTGGAATCACAAAATAAAAATTAAAAAATGAAATTCTTGAAAAAATGCTTCTGAATATTCCCCATCCCTTCCACTGTTTCAGCAGAAGGTAGGAGAGGTGTGGAGGGAAAGTGGACTAGGTGACCCCCTAAACTTCGGACTCTACGGTTCTCTTTTCTCCAGAGAAAAAAATGTCACTGTGGGATCCCTCCACCTTTAGCTGACCCAGCTCCACTGGGCTTCCCAAAATAGCAAGTAGGAAGTAGGATGTCGAAAACAGAGCTTCCAAACGAGGTAGTGGGTGGACAGGCCTATTTATGGACACCTCTGTCTCCTGCTCACTGACATTGCCGCCCTCCGTGACCCCGGACCACAAATTCCTCCCTCTGGCTCACAGCCCTTCCTCCCAGGAACCTGGAGAGCTCGCCTGCCCCGTCCCAGCGCTGTGGCCAGTGCACCTGTGTCCCTGTCCCCTCCTGGTGAAGAGCTGCTGACCCCTAGAGCTCAGCCACCAGCACAGCCCCAGTTCTGGGCCAGCACCAGGTCCCCTACTTGCGGTCCCGTTTATTCTCACATCTATTCCTGTCTTTTTGCTCCTCCCCCAAGAGTGGAAGTCAAAGATACACATAGAAACCACAGGAAGTTTTCATTTTATTCTTATCCCGTGTCCACAGACCTTTTTACGTGGCAAGCCGGAGCCTTTGGGCCACAGCTGCTTTCTCCGGAGGATTTTGTAATAGTGGTTCCTGGGACGGGGCAGTTCTAGCAACTCCTACGTCTCCATGACACCTGTGCTCCTGTTCTGCTCTGTGTCCCCCCTGCACAAGGTGAGCCCTGCTCCGTGAGCACAGAGGCCAAATCTTCCGAAGCCTTGAGAAAGCAGATTCCAGGGATCCCAAACTCGAGACACCAGCTCGAAGCAAGACCGGGTTCCCAGGACTTGGGAGAAGACTGGGTCCTGGGACTGAGAGCCTCGCTGACCCTGCCCTGTTGGCAGGGGCCAAAGTCCAAAACTGGAGGTCTAGTCACTCCCGTTCACCACAGTTCTCATTTCACAGGCTTTCCCTTTGATTTCTTCTGTTTCTTCTGTTCTTCATATTCACGTATTTTCCGTTGGAAATAGCCTGTGGGTTCAGAAGCAGGTGTTAGAGGATGTAATCTCGCCAGGCAGACGGATGAGCTCAGGGATGAGGATCAGAAATACCCTTTCTGGCCTGGCTGGCATGGCTCAGTGGTTGAGCATCGACCTATGAACCAGGAGGTCATGGTTTGATTGCCGGTCAGGGCACATGCCCAGGTTGAGGGGCTCTATCCCCAGTGGGGGGTGTGCAGGAGGCAGCTGATCTATGATTCTCATCATTGATGTTTCTCTCCCTTTCTCTTTGAAGTCAATTTTAAAAAAATTTTTAAAGGAGAAAAAAAAATCCCCTGTCTGCTCCCTATACCCCCACTAAACCCACATTCTCATTGGGGAATTCCCACACCCTCACAGGCCTCTGGAGACCCCGTATTCCATTAGCCCCCAAAGGGGCTACAAGGAATAATTGGCTCCAGACTCAGAGCAAAGGGCCTCCTGCCCCTGATGAATAGAGCGACTTCTGCAAAGTGTCAGCCCGGGGCATCTCCTGAGGCTGAGTTCTTTCTTTCCAACCGGCCGATAAGATCCCAGCTGTCCTGGGGCCTCTGGAGGGAAGTGCCCTTTCCTCCCCTCAACTCAGGGCCAGGGCCAGTGATCCCGCAGGCCTAGGGGGTAGAGGTCCTCGCTGCCTACCTGCAGGAGGGTTCTTGCTCTTCTCAGCTTCCTGGATGAAAAGCGAGAAGAGCTGTGTCTTCACAAACTTCTTCACGAATCGGCGGTTGGCCTTGGAGGGCAGAGCCTTGTAGAAGGCCCGTTCTTGGAAGCGGCCTTGCCCGTTGGCCTCCCACCTGATGTAGGAAGCGTAGTGGCCGACGGTCTTGACAAAGAACTGCACGAACGGGCCTGACACATGCTCGTTGATTTGTTCTGGAGCTGTGGGGGACACGGAGACGCCGCTCAGGGAGGAGCCAAAGGATGAAACGGCCCACCTTTACCTTTGAGGGGCTGTCACTGCAGGCTGAGCGCTCCAAGGGTGGGGGTGGGGCGGGGGTCATAACCACTGATGGACTCTTTAAGGTGGGAGGCTGGGTATGAGTTCTCTACCATTGCTTAGGAAGAATAAAATCTCTGACTCGCCCCAGGATCCAGGCCTCAGGGACTGGCCCAGGCCTGCTGAGCAGGTTCATTTTAGTTCTGGAAGGGGAGGGTTGGGAACATGCCCTCAAGGGCCTTGGAGAACCCCACAATAAGAGGGGCCTGGGACTTACTCTGTTGCTCATCGATCCCCTGACCGAGAGACTCCAAGATGTCATCCTGAAGCTTGGGAGGTAGGATGTCTTTTTCGTCACCGACCTAGTCGAGGACAGAGTTGGGGAGGAGGTGTGAGTGGGGTGTTGGCAGAGAGAAGGGTGTGTCTGCACCCCCACTCATCCCCAAATTAATAACTGGTCACATAGGTGAGAAACAACAGAAGCCGTTTCTTGGTCTTTCAGCTGGACTCAGTGTTAGCAAGTCTCCTCTCCACCCCTGTGGTTCCTGGTTGGCACCCCTGCTCTGAGGCACCAACACTAATTGCCTGGCCCCGAGGTCGGTCACCTGCGATTTTCGTGTGTCATGGGCCCCCTGAGAGGGGAGAGGTCTTCTTAGCAGGGGTTCCCGCTCAACATGGATGAGCGAGCATGGAGGAGACGGGAGTGATGGAGTTAGTGGTGGGCCTGCAGGGGGTCTGAACCCAGATACTCACTGACATTAAGAAGGTTCCTTCACAAAGATTCACCAGCAGGACCTGCAATAAACACAGAATGGCTTTATCTCTTCCCCGTCGTCACAGACCTCCGGAGGCCCCGCCACCTCCATTTCAGCCCAAGTAGCATCTTCAATGCTCGTTTCGGTCTGACACTCCTTTCACCCCCTCCCGTTTGGAAACCTCAGTTCCTTTCCGGGGGAAAGGGTGTGAGGGTCCAGGACAGTGACGGCGAACCTTTTGAGCTCGGCGTGTCAGCGTTTTGAAAAACCCTAACTTAACTCTGGTGCCGTGTCACATATAGAAATTTTTTGATCTTTGCAACCATAGTAAAACAAAGACTTATATTTTTGATATTTATTTGATATATTTAAATGCCATTTAACAAAGAAAAATCAACCCAAAAAATGAGTTCGCGTGTCACAGGTTCGCCATCACTGGTCTGGGAAGAGGGATGGGAGAGAGCTGAGCTAGAAGGGGACACAAGATGAGGAAATCATAGCCAGTCACTCCCTTCATGAAGCCCTGGGTAGACTAACTGCTTCTAAATATGGAACATGTAGAACAAGGTAGGTGCTTTGCACCTGTGTCGCATGTAGTCCTCCCAACAGTCCTGGGGGGGCATGAACTGACCCAACTCACAGAAGCTGCCTGAGGTCCTACGGCTAACACACAGCAGGGCCAGAGCCCACGCCTCCAGTGCCCTGGCCTCAGGACTGCACCCTGTCCCCACTCTCGCCTTCAGCTCCCTCCCCCTGGTCAGCTTAGGACAGGATGGGCATCATTTCATCTCTCCATTCTTGCAACAGCCTAGAGACTCCCTCGGAGCTTCGGGAAACAGCGAGAGAAGGAAATGAGCGCAGGGTCAACAGGAAGACAGAAGGAAAGGCAGGAGGAGACCACGTGCCTGCAGGCTGCAGGTGAGGCAAGCACGGGGCTGGAACTAGGAGGCCTGGAATTCGGGGGCCCTGAGCTCCGGTACCAGCTCCATCACTCGCCTGAGGGGCCTTCCGTCTAGACCAGACAACACAAACAGACATCCCGCTGGTTGGATTCCAACCTGCAGATCTGCTTCCAGGATCCTCAGCGCGTTCTCAAATAACTGAATTCACTGCCAATGTTTACATTGGAGCCTTTCACATAAAATTTGGATTGGGGGTTTCTCCTCAAAAGTCGGGGAGTCTATGCCCTGGCCGGTGCGGCTCAAGTGGTTGGGCATCATCCCGTGCACCCAGAGGCTGCCGGTTAGATTCCCGGTCAGGGCACACGCACAGGAGGCAGTCGATCGATATTTCACTCTCACATCGATGTTTCTCTCTTTCCCTCTCCCCTCCTCTTTCTCTAAAAATCAATTAAAAATATTTTTTTAAAAAGTCAGGAAGTCTAACACTGGTTCTCATTTCTAAAGGACAACATTCAGAGAGAACTGAGTGCGGCCGCCCCCTTTGGGCTGGGCACGGGCTCAACAGTTTGCCATAACCCCCTCCCCCAGCCCCCACCCCAACCTGCTGGCCACTGAAATGCCTACTGAGCTCCTCTTTTCAGTCTGCTCGTGACAATGGGGTGAACGAACCCTCCCCCCCTGCTATTCCCCCCCCTCCCCCCCGTGCTCCCTTCTTCCAAATAAAAGGAAAAAGAGGGACTGGCAAGTGTGCCAAGAGACAGCGCCGGCGCTGTAATTACCCGTCCTCAGGGGAGAAAAGGTGAACTAGTCCGGGCCTGAAACCACTGTGTACATGGGCTCCTGTTTGTTTGGGGGGTTGGGAGCGAAGATTGTGGGTGAAGAATGTTTCTGTGATGTCGTTCCCCCAAATCTTCCTAGCACTGGGGTATATTACTGTCAAATAATCCCTTCCCGGGAGCTTATGTGGGGGTCAGGGAATCCCCTCACACCCGCAGTAGCCCCTGCCCACTCCACAGGGCAGCTGCGGAGGCGGGACAGAGGCCCAGGCCGGGGACGGCAGGAGCCAGCGCCTCGGCCTCGGCCTCGGGAAGCCTTCCTGCCTGGCCCCGGGGAGGAGCCCCGGCTGCTGAGAAGCCGGCTGCAGTGTCAGGAAGTTTCATAACTGACGGTATTGGGACACTGAAGCCCGATTGCTACACACGGGCTGGCCCTCTGTCCCCGTGAGTCACAAGGCGAAGGCTCGTTCAGAGGGCGTGTGTACTCAGCACTTCTGAGAAGGGCTGGGAGGGCCAGGAAGCGAGGAAGGAAAACATGTCTTTCCTTCCCAGCAGCACGTGGTGGAAGAGGGGCTCGGGGTCCGCTCCCTGTGCCCCGGCCCGGCCCGGCGTGGCCTGTGTGGCCTCGGAGATGCCCACTGAGCTCTCTGGACTTCCGTGGTGTCGTGCACCTGGGGGACGTCCTCCCACGAGGGCTGGTTCCAGGCCTCTGGAGCAGCTCACTGCTAGCCTCTCCCCGTGGCTGGCCCTTTGTCTGCACAGTCAGGGTTAGGCAGTGCAGACGCCCCCCAAAGTAGGTCTTCTCGCTTGAGGTGAGTAACATGCTCTCTCTGAAACTTCCTTCTGACAGCTCCAAGCAGGACACATGTCCTGAGTTGTCCCTCCAACACGGGAGACCGATGCATGCCAGGAATGCCTGCTCGGGGTGTCCTGACAACATCGAAGGGCTCTACCCTGATTGCCAACGGCCCTCTCAGCCACTCGGAAAGACAACTCCTGCTCCAAAGATCTGCCTGTTCAGGATTCAGCTTTCAGCGGGGCTGCATGAGTGAGCTCATGTCCAAGGAATGTGAGGGAACTCCAGAGGGCTGTGTGCCGCAAAACCCAGCTGTGCTTACCCGTTCCGATGGGGCAGGGGACCCCCAGGGCCCGCTCAGGGGGGCCAGCTGTCCCCGGACGGTCAGATGACCCCTCCACGAGCTACGTGCTTGAAGCCCAAAGGAGCAGAGAGCTGACGCTTACGGAGCATCAACTACATGTCAGGCCTCAGGCAGGGAGCTTTAGGCGGGTGATTTCCCCTGGAATCCAGGGCACTGAACACTGTCACCCCCGTTTTACAAAAGCAGCAGCTCAGGCTTAAACAGGTGAAGCAACCTGACCCAAATCACACTGCCCCGAGGAACAGAGCTGGGATCCGGCGCCAGGTCTGCCGGCCCCGAGTCACGGCTCTCAGTGCTCGCGCCTACCTCTTCCATGGGGCTGTCCAGGACCTCCTGCAGAAAGCGCATTTGCACTCCCACCATGAAGGGCGTGGGGCAGCAGACGGTGGCCAGGAGGCTCTCGGGGACCACGGGGATGTAGGTGTGCGCCCAGCTGAAGGGGTAGAGCAGCGCCGCGGCGGCGTGGATACACTGCGACAGGGTGCTGGGGACAGCGACAGGGACGAGAGTTAGAGGGGCCTCCCTGCGCCCCACCCCTGCCACCCCCACGCTGCCCACCACCCACAGCGGGTGCAGCCGGCCGGGAGCCACGCTGGTCCCTGTGGCTCCTCACAGCTGGGAGGGGAGGGGCGGGGGCGGGAGAGGCGCGGGCCCCTCTCCAGGATGGGCCTGCATTGGGCCTTTATTTGTCATAAGACTTTTCAGCAACAAAAGCGGCTCTAAGGAGCGGAGAGGGGAGAAACGCCTTCCCTCGAACCCATCACCGATGGAGCCCCTTCTATGCGCTCGGCACGGTCCTAAATATGTGGGTGCCAGGAACTGGGAGACGCAGCCCTGCTTCTCGGAGTTCGCAGTGCAGCCGAGGAGGCAGACAGTGAACACCGGGCAGCAGAGGCCAGGCCTGTCTCCCCCTCGCATCTCTCCAGCCCGGCCCAGGCCTTCCCTCTCCAGCTCTCTCCGGCCACTCCAGGCTGGTGCCTGAGTGCCTGGGAAATTCCTAGATTCCCGGAACCTCGCTCAGCAATTCCTCCCGGAAAGTCCCGCAGAGGGGCTCTGCCCTTTCCTACCAAGCACTGGGTAATTGCCGCCTGGTCACAGCGCAGGGCCAACTCCCAGCCACTCACGCAAGCACACAGCCCACTCTCTCTCTTCTCTGTCCCCCACTGGCTTTCATGGCTCCTCATTTCTCCTGGTTGCCCCCGACACCGGAGCCAATAAACACACGGATGCAGAAACCTCGTTCCAGTTCTTGGTATCAACCAGCACTCCCCGAGAGAGACCGGCTCAGAGAGCGGGCCAAGGCCGAGGCTAGCTGGAAGTTCCACCCACCCCACCCCCCATGTTTCAGGGATCTGACAGATGGTGTGGGAAGGAAGTGGGGAGAGATGGGATCTCCCTGGAGAAAGTCAACGTCCGAGAGGCAAGTCCTGCTGGCCCTGGCCCTGGCCCTGGCCCCGGCCAGCCAGCTGACCCGTGCGGTCACGTTCACTTCCCAGGCACCGATCTTAGGGGGAAAGGCCAGCACCCCAGCTCCAGCCACACAGAAACTTCTTTCCCCACAGGGCTGAGCGGGGAAAAGCTGGTTCCAAAGCAAAAGGTTACACCACTTCCCTCAAGGACTAGCTCACAACTAGTGCCTTTGTGTTGACACTGGTTTTTATAGAATGTTCTGCCCACAGACCCCACTCCCTGGCCGAGCTTCCTTTTCTCTGGGCGCCATGACATCCACCTGACCCTCTCTGGCCTAAGAGCTGGGTTCCCAACATCCTTTCCTTCCTCTTCCCTGACAGACAGAGCCAGAGTTGTCAGCCAGTATCCTCCCTCCGCAGACATGAACAGAAGGCCAACCGCCAGCTCTTTGATGGTGTTTTTTTCCTTCTCCATCCTGTCATGTCTCCCCTTGTCTTTCTCAGACTCAAAGGCCCTAAGAGGTAGAGACCAAGGCATGGCAATGCCCCGCTTCAACACACACAGGGGCACACTCAACTGCGAAGTTATTATTATGAATAACAGCTCAGCTCGGCCGGCCTGGCTCAGTGGTTGAGTGTCAACCTATGAACCAGGAGGTTATGGTTTGATTCCCAGTCAGGGCACATGCCCAGGTTGTGGGCTCGATCCCCCTTGGGGGAGGGGGCGGGGAGAGCATGCAGGAAGCAGCCAATAAACAATTCCCTCTCCTCATTGATGTTTCTATCTCTCTCTCCCTCTCCCTTTCTCTCGGAAATCAATAAAAATATATATATATTTTTAAAAAAAGAATAACAGCTCACACTTACTAATCTGTGCCTGGCAGGGTGCTGGCTGCCTAATGTGAACTATTTCATTTAATCCTCACCACAACCTCACGAGACAGACAGTCGCTTCCTCCATTTTACCGATAAGAAGATCATGACTTCAACAAGTTAAGAAGCTAACTTAAGGGAACCACGTAGCTAAGAATAGGACTTGAACCTCTTTGTGCTGATTCAAAACCTACGCTTCCACCCACGACAGAATTCTACATCCCCTTCGGGTCAAAGGCCATGTCTTGTTTGCCTGTATCCTCCCGAAGGCTTGGCATCCGAGACACAGTTCACACACGCGTGTCTGTTGAATGCATGAGTGAATGGATAGCTGTGCTTGTCATTAAGGATTACGGCCTTGACCTCCATACCACTGCATGCCTTCCTGCCTGAACCTTTCAAAAGCAGAGTCATATCTGCACCCACCCTAACGCTCTCCGCCCGGGCCATCCCCTGGACACTTCTTGGCCTTTTCTGAGCTCGGTCAGAACCCTCCTCAGGCCTGGGCAGCAACCAAGTTGGAGGGCAGAAGCAGATTAGTGCTGGTCCAGACCCGGAGGCAGGAGGGCGGGAACCCGGGCCCCACAGCCTGACTTCCTCTGGGGACCCTCCGGCCGTTCCCCTGAACCCGAGGACGCCAGTCCGTTCGGCTGAGCCGCTCAGTGGCTGGACCCACCTGAGACCTTCTGCCAGGAAGATGATTCTCCTCTCCAGCACCGCGGAGGCGAAGAGCTGAAGAATCTGTTCGAAGCTGAGACAGCGCAACAGAGAACTGAAGTCCACGTGTTCCAGGTGGGAGTCCAGGGGCCGCGTCAGGGAGATGAACTTGGGGAAACCAGAGAGGTTGTCATCACACTGAAGCCTCACGCAGTCGGCCTCCACGGTCCCCGCAGGAGTGAACCCCATCCTGTCTCTCCCACGCTAAACCCACCTGTGGTTTCCTTCCGCCCTGGGGACAGCACGGCCCACGAGGCCCTGCCCCCCTGCCAGCCTCACGGAGCCCACTCCACCTCCTGCCCGCTTCCCCACCACCTCCTTCCTGTGCCCCGGGCATGTCACGCTCTTTCTGGCTGGACGTCCTGCACAGGTGAGGCCCCCGGGACCCCCCTCCTCCCAAGTTCTTGTCCCCCCTAGTCTCAGAGGCTCTCCTCGGCCACTTAAAGCAACGCGTGCTCTCCGTCCTTTCTCTGTAGCATCCTGGTTTTTTCCCCTTTCATCAAATCATACAATTTTTTAATTATACATTTGTCTGTTTCCTTATTGAACGTCCGTCTCCCCCAACTAGACTTTTAGCTCCATGAGGTCAGGGGTCACGTTCATTGTATTCACCACTTTACAGCCAGGAAATCGTGCAGCTCGGGGTCCAGCAAGCACGCCCTACTTATTTTCTGAGCAAGTGACAAAGCCCAGCCCACCCCCACCTTGATTTTATATGGAGAAGCCAAGGTTCAGAGGGACACGGATTACCCAGAGGAATAGGGGTCAGCATGGAATTCTTAAAACAATGTTCTGCCTCAAAACAGTGGTGTCCCGGGCGGCCTGGGTGGGGACTCAGGGGCGGGGAGGGGTGATAAGAAATGGACAGATGGAGGCCTCCGGCAGAGCTAGAGCGCAGAGACCGGAGGGTGAGGGTGGGGCACGGGGGCCGGTGGCAGGTTGGGGCTGGGGGCAAAGTCCACCTGGCACCAGGAACCTCGGCTCCCGTGGCTTATTTATTACACATACAAGTCTTGGCGGCTTGAATAGTGAGTGAGTAGGCCAGGGGTCCTCGAACTTTTTAAACAGGGGCCAGTTCACTGTCCCTCAGACCGCTGGAGGGCCGGACTATAGTTTAAAAAAAAACGATGAACAGATTCCTATGCACACTGCACATGTCTTATTTTGAAGTAAAAAAACAAAACGGGAACAAATACAATATTTGTATTTGCATGTGGCCCGCGGGCCGTCGTTTGAGGACCCCTGGACTAGGCCTTGTGAGCGGCCGGTTGGGAGGATGGGAAACTGTGGGTTGGATATTCAGCTCTGACGATAATTCAAGCCAGACCCAGCCCCCGCCTGGCTCAGTGCGTCTGCATGTTAACCAGTGAGTGAAGGGCTGTAGGGCTGCGAGGAGCGGTGTCGCAGAGGCCTGCCCCCTCCAGCCAGAGCGGGTCTCACCTCTTTACTGAACCCACCTCGGTGCCCGAGTCGGGGATGAAGCTCTTGAGGGTGACGGTCTTGCCGGGAGCGGGGAAGGCGGCCTCCCGCAGGCCCTGCATGAACGGGTAGATGACGGCCATGGAGATCTGATGCCGCTTCTCCACCTCATCCAGGATCTGCAGGAAAAGGACCCGGGAGGCGAGGCTCAAAGGGATGCAACGGGGAGGGCGGCAGAGGCCCCGGGTGTGAGGGTCCCGTGCTGGTCCAGCCCGTCTTCCCGTGTCTTCTCTGCCCCTCCCCCGCGAGTCCTCTCTCCTCCCTGGCACAGACCAGTCTACTGCTTCCTCCTGGCCTCCTTCTTCTCATCCTCCCTCGACCTACCCACATGCTTCCCTTCTCCGAACCTCAACATAAGCTACCTTCCCGGGAAGCCATCGCAGGGTAAACTCATCATCCACTTGACACCACGTTCATCGTGATGGTTGGGATGAGGGCCTACAAGGCTGGTTCCGCTTGGCACCACTCTGCCCCTCAACTTTCGCTGGAAACTGCCCAGGGCCAGGGCCAGCCTCTGTCCCCCATGAATGCATGCTCCACCCAAGCAAGGCTGCCAGAGTCCCTGCCTTCACCCTCCCAGGGGCCTGCTGGGGGCAGAGCACACCGAGCCCCTTTCGTGGCCACCAAGACCCGCCCTCTCCATTCTGACGGCCCCTCTGATCCCACTCAGGTGTGTGGCTCTCAGCGAGCTCCAGCAGAAGTCCTGGCGTCCCCAACGCCCCAGCGGCCCTGGAAGGCCCTGAAGGGAACCCGGCATCGTATAATAATAGTCGCCATAGCTCTTTAGAGCTCAGCCTTTCTCACAGATCACCTCACTCGAGCCTCACACCAACCATGGCATAGGAAGGCGCGGGTCATATATGCATCTGACAGACGAAGACACGGAAAACTCCAGACTCCTAACCGGAGCTCCTCCCTGCGCCTCCAGCTGCTTTCTGGCCTGACCGGAGTGGGAGGAGTGGGACCCCGGGGCTCTCAGCGGGGGAGACGGTTCCCTGCACTCGGTTCTCACTTTTCTGTGAAATCAAGTCCAGCCCAAGCCCATCTCCGCCTGGGTTCTCCCGCCTGGGCCCGCCTGGCCCCGCTGACGGGGAGGCACTCCCTGAGCACTGAGGGAGCACCGTGGGGCGGCAGCTGGGCAGGCAGCCAGGCAGCCGGCAGCCGAACAGGCCCAGCAGGCCCAGGAATCCCGCCCCGGCCCTACCTTGGAGAACAGGCCGAAGCAGCCGATGCAGCTGATGATGCAGTACACCCTGGGGAGCCGAGGGCCGCGGCCGGCGGGCTGTGGGGGGAGAGAGCCTCCTTCAGGGCTGCAGCCCCCAGGCCTTTGGGGACAGCGGGGCACGAGCTGGAGGCTGGGGACGCATGGTGAAAGGTGGGCCGGATGGAGGAAGGCCTGGGCAGGCGCAAGGAGGCCAGAGCGGCCACCAAAGTCCAAAGAAAGTGGCTGTGAGGGGGCTGGAGGGCTCACAGGCAGGCACTGCCACCATGGGGGGTCGGCAAAGAGCACGGACCAGCGTGCTGCGGGGACGAGGGAGGACAACACTGAGAATCCTGAGAGCCCAGGGCAGGTGTTCAAATCCCGGTCTCTGCTCCGGGGGCTCCCGGGGCCACGGCACCAAGGCCCAGACGGGGATGTTGGGAGAGCAGAGACCACGGCAGGGCCTGCAGGAGTCCCCTGGGTAGGCGGGCGAGGGGGCACGTGTCCCTGTTCTGCAGGCTGCAGGGGGCACTAACATGGCAGCGGGTGCTGGGCTGTGCTCTCTACAGCCGCCACTGCCAGGGGCCTGGGCTTGTGCGGCTGAGGCCTGGCAAGCCCCCTGAGGAGCCGGAAGGCTGCAGAGAGGAGGGGACAGTTCTGAGCTGCACAGACCAGGAGGCGCCTGCAGTAGCCGATCTTCCTGCTCCCATCCACGTTGGTCAGCACGAAGGAGAAGGTCTCCCTGAGGAAGAGACACGAGACTCTCATTTGCCCACTAGACCAGGGATGGCGAACCTATGACACACGTGTCAGAGTTGACACGCGAACTCATTTTTTTGGTTGATTTTTCTTTGTTAAATGGCATTTAAATATATAAAATAAATATCAAAAATGTAAGTCTTTGTTTTACTATGGTTGCAAATATCATAAAAATTTCTGTAGGTGACACGGCACCAGAGTTAAGTTAGGGTTTTTCAAAATGCTGACACGCTGAGCTCAAAGGTTCGCCATCCCTGCACTAGACTGTACAACGGCATCAGGGGAGTGCCAAGGGGGGCGAGGAGGACCCGGGAGCTGCTGGCCGGTCAGGAGAGCGGTACTAGTACCAGGAGAGTAAGTGCTTATCGGTGTCAACCTCCAAAGGCATCATCTCATTGAATTCTCAAAACAGCCCTTAGAGGAAAGTTTGCTTGTTATCCCTGCTTTAAAGTTGAAGGGACTGAGGCGGAGAGGGCATTTCTCATGCAGGCCATTCAACTCCTAGCCGTGCAGCCAAAACTCGAACTCAGACAGTCAAGTCCCAGGGCTCCTGCTGGAAGGGACGTTGCTACGTCACCTTCTTAGAGGGCCAGGGCCTTCTTCTAAGCCCAGCTTCCGCCAGTGGCAGAGTCAAAACCCAGAGACGTCACTCCCAGCACGAGGGAAGGGAATCCCACCCTTCTCTGCTCAGAGGTAACTGGTCAACCTGTGGGCCAAGATCCTTGGTCTTACGGGGCCCCAGGCAAGATGGTTATACATGAATCCACTGAGCCCCTCCCCGTCAGGAGGAGAGCTGGTAAGAGACGGGCATACAGGCCACGTGAGGGGCCACAGGAACCATCAGGCTCACACGGGCCCTTCTGCCCCGATCCCACAGGCCCCGTCTCAGGGCCGGCAGTTACCTGGGATACTCAGTGAGTGGGGCCCACTCGTTCCCATCCGGGAAGCAGAACAAGGGGATGGCACTGAGCAGCCGTTCCTCTTCCTCCTGCTGGCCCCGAAGCAGGTTCTCCCGCTGTAAGGACAGGAAAGGAGATGAGCCGATGGTGCACGTAGGGGCCTCAGGAGAGGGCAGGAGGGCAGGGGCAGCAGGAGGGGGCAGGAGGCAGGGGCCCCAGGAGAGGGCAGGAGGCGGGCAGGCAGGCGGACTTCTTTTGAGGCTCTAGCACAATCTTAGGATAAGCTTGTCCATGGCACGGGGTCCTCTGCCTGTCACTCTACACAGGGACTTTGTTCTGGGTCTGGCTGGACGGACCCCAAGGCCGAAACAGCCCGTCCCGGGCCACGTCTACATGAACCCGAGTTAGACTTCAGTGTCTGAGGATCCGCGTAGTCAGGAAGGCGGCCAGGCCACCCGTGAACACAGAAGGGCCCTGAGACCACTCGCTTCCTGCGAGGACCACGTCCCAGAGGTAACACCTCGCAGAAGAGAAGCGGCCAGCTCACCGGCCCCACTTTCAGGGTGAAGGAGATCTCTGCGGCCCAGGGCAGGGGCAGTGAGGAGCCCAGTGTGTGGGCACGTGACCACGGGCTGCCCCGCCCCCTCCTTCCCACGGGGGTGCCTGGGAGGAGCTCAGGCAGAAGGTAAGCTTCGCCACAGAGGAGGGTGACTGGGATGGAATCTGGGAGAACCAGGAGGTCCCCAAAGGGAAGAACAAGCCTAGTTTGCCGGCCAGGGAGCCTAGGTCAGCTCCTCACAAAGAGGCCAGGCCTAGATTCTGTGGGTGATAACAGGAAACAAGAGCGGGCGAGCTCAGGGCACACACACACACCCCCTGCCCCCCTGTCGCCTCTCAAACACCCCACCCTCTGTCCCCTCCCCCCGCCCCCCCTTGCAGTCCTTACCTTGGGAAACTGGTAGGTGATCGTCGGCTCATAATCCTCCCCCGATCGCCTCCTTTTGAGGGAAACCACGAGGAGGTATTCGAAGAAATGCTGTCCTCCGGCGAAGGTGGCCAGGCAGTGCTCCGGGGCCCGCTCCGGCTCCTTTGCAGCCTCCCCCGGGCTGTCCTGGACAGACCCTGAAACCAGACACGTGGCCCACTCGGATCTCACAGGTCCACGCCCCGAGTGGGGACTGCGAGGCTCCAGGCAGCTTCAGCACCTCAAGGCCCCCTGCCCACGCCGAGGTCCCCGGAGCCGGCCCAGCACCCAAGGTCCTGGAATGGGATCAGAGCCAGCTGGGTAGTTTCCACGCCAGCCCTGGGGATGTGCAACCACGCGGAGCCACCGGGAGAAAAGAAAGCACTGATTTGGAAGCCGAGGAAATGTACTGGGGAGGCCCCGTGGGAGGCCCCGTGCCCCGGGCACTGCCTGCCCTCAGGGTGCCCAGCGCAGCACCTGCAACATGCCCCAGCAGACCTGTGCTCACTGCATCAGAAGAGGCCCACGGGCCATGTGGCTGTGACCACACCAACCCCCCCAGGGGGTATGACAGGCTCTAAAGACCCGCAGGGGAACCTCCCAGCGCAGTCACATGGGAGGAGGAGGTCAAGATATAAAAGGAAGAAGGAAAAGAAGTGTTTCAAGGAAGAAACAGCCCCAGAGAGGAGAATCACCCGTGGGGAAAAAGGAATCCAGTCCAGACCTGGTGGGATTCGGGACCGCCATTTGTGGAGCTGCCTGAGCATCCCGCCTACCAGTGGTCCTGCCATCGTCCCGGGCCTGTGGGGCATGGAGCGCTGGCTGCCCTCGCCCACAGCGACTGGCTACAGAAAGCCCCAGGAGAGAGCTGCTGCTTCAGCTTCCGACCCTGGCGCTAGGCAGACAGGCCCCACGCTGTCTCCCAGATGAAGGAGAGCAGTTTCCATCCCGGGCACCCAATGGGTGAGCAAGCCGGCTGTGACGGGACCCAGGCAGGAGGCAGGAAGCCCGCACTGACACAGGCAGCATCCTGGCACGCTGCTCAGACCTCAGCTCCTCCCAGGAGCCCCAGGGTGTGGTGAGACAAAAGGTCGTAAGTAAACACCTCCAAGGCCCAGCTGCTTCTGGGCTCAGGGCTTTGACTTCTGGGCCGGAGGTTGTACAATGGGCTTATTTACAATCTGGGTCAAGTGAAGAATGCGAGATAGCATCAGGCTGCAGGCACTGGGGACTCCTGAGCCTTTTATCCCCAGAACTTTGACTTGTGGCCTTTCACTTCGAAACTGGGTCAACAGCAGCCCCAAACCCCTGCAAGGCCACCTGGAACTTCCAGGACCAAACACCCCCACAGCCAGCATGCCACTACGTCTGTCCGGTGACATCCAAGAGGAGAGATGCTTCCAGGAGGAGGGAAACCTGGACATCAAGACACACCTAAAAAGCCTCCTCTCCTGCTGGTGGAGCAGAGAGCAAAGTCCGTGTCTGAGCCGCAGAGCTCCTGACGGTCCAGATCTGCGTCGGATCATCTCTTCCCCTTGCAACACCTCCCGGACAGGCTTCTCTCCCTGGGACCTGTCCCAGGGTCCCAGCAAAGGATCCCTCTTGCAAATAGAAAGCGCTGACATTCTCCTGGCCTGCAGGAGGGAACTGGCTGCACCAGCAACAGTAGAGAGCACCTGGGGGAACTCTGCCCCACCCCCACTCCTGCTCAGTCTTTTATATTTTAATATACTTTTTATTGATTTCAGAGAGGAAGGGAGAGGGGGAGAGAGAGAGAAACATCAATGATGAGAGAGAATCGTTGATTGGCTGCCTCCTGCATGCCCCACTGTGAGGATCAAGTTCACAACCTGGGCATGTGCCCTGACCGGGAATCAAACCGTGACTTCCTGGTTCAGAGGTTGACGCTCAACCGCTAAGCCACGCCAGCCAGGCCTGCTCAGCCTTTGTTCCCTGTTGGGCCAGGTCAAGTGTTCTGCTCAAGCTAAAAGCAGAGCAACTGGCCCCTGGGGCCCTAGTGGTGTCTGGAGGCTGTGTCTGGGGGCTGGGAAGGAGAGAAAGGGTAGCACTAAGTCACCTAGAAGTCTTGCATAAACCCCTGAGCGAGCACATGTACGAGGTAAGAGACAAGGACTTTGGCCAGGCAGCCGCGTCTAACAGAAGCCAGGAGGCCAAAGGGTTAGATGCCAGAGTCTGCCACTCCGGCGGAGAATGAGCAGTCCTCCGGAAGAGAGCGGGTTCTGGAATAAAGAAGAGCTTCGAACCTGGCTTTCGTCGGACGAGTAGAAGCCACACTCAGTGGCCCAACCATGACTCCTGGGGCGAGCCCCCGTCACAGTCAATAAGGATGTGACGCATACTGTAATGGTGAGAACAGTGACCCAGATCACCGCGCACCCTCACCACTCCTTGCTCGCAACCTGCACAGACTTGTTGTTGTACAATCCTCACCATCTGTCTGAGGAACAAGCATGTTGCTGATACAGATGGGGAAACCGAGGCACAAAGAAATCCAGAGACTATGAACAGAATCCGTGGGGGGTGGGGATCGTGAGAATTCTGTGCCCATGCTCCCGCCCTCTGGACGCGGCACACACAGAACGGCGCACCAAAGTGGGATGCCTCGTGTTTGCCACGGACTTTGAGAATCCACACCTTTTCACGGATCCTTCCAGAACCTCAGGAAATTACTCCTTTCCTCAAATCATTTGGGTTGCAGTTTACAGACCATTCGTTCCTGCTCTATTAGGAGAGCCCAAGGAACAGCAAAACTCATAAACTCGAGCAAAAAAGTGACTAGACCTTTGGGGTTGAGGCCCAAGAAACGCAGAAGAGATGGCCTTCTCCTGTCTTTCCAAGGGGGTTATCAGCCGGAGAGAGGACATCCGTCAGACTCGCACGCGTCATACAGGTCACCCCATTTAATCCCCGGAGGAATGATTATCCCGGGTGTTTCACTGAGGAGGGAGCCAGCCTTTCTAAGGAAGTCAGGAGTCTGGTTACACTTGTTCCTCCACCAGGAAGCTCCGCCCACAGCCATCTGAGGAAAGTCCCAGAAAAGACTAGAATATAGGTGAGGGCAGTTTCTGAAACCTGCATCTGAAAAGCTGGCCTTTCCTCTTCTAGCTCATCTGCCTTGAACCCGGGACCACCCCCACTGCCACTCCTCCCGCCAGCATGATTGACACATCCGTGTGTGTGTGTGTGTGTGTGTGTGTGTACACACCCTCCTACCACACAACTGCCCTGCAGGGAGGGGAACTCCCAGGAAGGCGGAGGACAGACGGCAGGCAGGCAAGATGAGGAAACACTCTCCTGGCCTAACAGGTGCCAGGCCTCGGGACAGGAGTCCCGGCTGCTAGTCTTCCAGCCCCTCAACCTCCCGGAAGCTCCTCCGGGCACGAGCCTCACCTTGTCTGGGGGGCCAGGGTGGTTGGGAACACCCGGAATGTCTCCTGTGGCTGCAGGGAGCAGACCCCGTTCCTCCACCCCCACAGCTGGGGTTGAGAGAGACCAGAGAAGAGAGGCCAGCGGCCCCACCCTGCACTCAGCCGGGCCACTGCAGGTTCCCGACCTCTGTCCCCACCCGTGGTCTCTGACCTCCCTGCCTCCGTTGGGGTGAAATGACAGATACTGGAACCCCATGGTTAGGGAGAACAGCCAGGGCTGGGGTGGAGGGCAGGGGTAATGGCAGGAGCACTGACTTCACCCCCAGGTCTCCCCGACGCTGGGGGTTGCACTTGGGAACGTGGCTTCCTTCACTCAACCTTGTGATTTGCCAGCGCTAGAGCGGTGGGCTGCCCGTCCACCCAGCTCCCTTCTCCTCGGACAGCGGGACCTGTGGGCAGGGGAGCTGAGGGTTCTGGCGAGTGGAAGAGGCAATACATGTTTGCAGAATGAATGGGGGGGGAAGAATGAATTCCTAATCGCCTTCCTTCCCGAGCTCAGGGCCCTGCCGAGAAGGAGGAGCACCACTCGAATGTGACTCCCCACAGCGCGGAGGACTGACCCCCACTTCGCTGCCCAGGGGCTCCGGGAGGCCGGACTTGCCTGGTTCCCGCTAAGGCGCCACCCCAGCTCTGCTCTAGGCCACGCTCTCCACCGGCCCTGGGGCGGGGGTGTCACGGCGTCGGGGAGCCCAGTTTTGCGTGGCTTTTGGAGGCGCAGAGGCGGGGCGGGGGCCCGGGGCTGAGGCGGGGTCTCGGGGAGGGCGCTCCCGGCGCTCTGCGGTCTCACCACCAGCTTCCTGGCTGGAAGGACACGTGGCCCCGGGGCCCCACCACCGTTTCCTCTGCCCCGTCGCCTCCCCCTGCACCCCCTGGGGCCTGGCAACTCCCTGACCTCCGACCTTGTCCGCCCCCGGCCCCGTCCACCCACCTGCGCACCTGAGCTGCCCAGCCCGCCCGAGTGCGCGGCGGACCCGGACCCGGACCCGACCCGGACCCAGACCCGGACCTGGACCCGGACCCGGACCCAACCCGACCCGACCCTCCGCGCCGCCCGGCCCGGCCCCCGCCGCGGTCAGCCGGTGTCCTGGCCCCGTCCCCGCGCTGTCCCCGCGCTGTCCCCGCGCTGTCCCCGCGCTGTCCCCGCGCCCCGGCCGGCACTAACCCCCGCGGCCGCGCTTCAGTCGCAGGCTGGCTCGGAGGCGGCGGCCGAGCCCATCCATGGCCCCTCCGGTGCCCGGCGCCCGCTCCCAGGTCCGCGCCGGCCCCGCCCCGCCCCCTGCGGACCTCGCGGGGCGACACTTTCACTTTCACGCGGGGGGAGGCCGCGGGGACCTGCCGGGCGGGGCGAGGCGGGGCGTCGCACCTTCCGGACGCGGCCCAACCCCCCACCCCCCCTCCTGCTCACCTGGGCGGGCCGCGTGGGGTGACAGAGGGCGCTCGTAGGCGTCCGGACGGGGCGGCGCCACCCCGCTCCCACCCTCCGCGGGTCCCGGGGAGGCCAGCGCCTACCTCCGCGGCTCCAGCCGGGAATGCCCCGTGGGCACCCGCGCACCTTCCAGGCGGCTCCCCACTGACCCCAGGAGCGGGGAGCTCGTTGGCTGAACCCTTCCAATCGCTCCGTCTCTCCCCCTGCGACTGCCTTGTCCAGATCTTTGGCCATATTTGTCCTTCTGCCCCCGCGGGGCGCAGGGCGTGTGAGCCCGCCTTGCTCACAGCCTCTTCCACTTCCCCACGTAGCGGACCGAGGGGAACCGGGCCACCGGCTCCTGGAGATGCGGCCTGGGTCCTGACCCGCCTTCTCAGCAACCTGCTCTGTTTGCTTTTAATTGATTGGACTAACATTGGATAATAGCATATACATTTCAGATGTGCAGCCTTATAATTCCACAGCTACATATACTCACTCTGTTGTGCGCTCACCACCCGAAGAAGTCTGCTCTCCTCCCATCACCATATATTTGACCCTCTTTGCTCGCTTCCTTTTCCCCAGGCACCGCTTCCCCTCTGGTAACCACCATTCTGTTGTCCGTATCTATGAGTCTGGCTGTTTGTTTGTTTGTTTGTTTTCTCCTTCGTTGGATGATTGCATAAAGAAACTGTGGTATATATACATGCAATGGAATACTACTCAGCCATAAGATGATGAAATCTTGCCATTTATGACAACATGGATGGTCAGGAGAGTATTACGCTAAGTGAAGTAAGTCAGATGAGAAAGTCTTGGGGAACACACGAGACTTGGTTGGAAAGTTGGTAAGGAGGACATTCTGAGGAAAGGGGAGTGTGTAGAAGGCCGCCTGCCCTGTTTATGGGAATTCCGACTTAGAGGAGACTGAGGGGAGTGTTGAAGGCGGTGCCCCCAATTATTCCATGACTTTTCCAAATTAGTCTGTGCACATGCAGAACCCCGGGTGTTTACTGGAATCCTTGTGCCTAATCTTTGGGTGCCTTTGCCTAGAGGACAATGCAAACGCATGTGTCCTCCCAAGATTACTCACCCTACTGATTGTATGTAAAAGATAAAACTGCAATAAAAGCCTAATGAGGCAGGCAATCGAGGCTGCCTGGTCTCTTTGGCCAGGCAGTCCCTTAGCCTCTCTTTCACAGCAAACGTTGTGTCGAAGTAATCCATTCATCCATCGCTCAGGGTCTGCTGGTCCGCCCTGGCAAAAAAGGACACCAATCAGTGGCTCAGTTGGTTGGAGCATTGTCCCATGCACCAAAAAGGTTGAGGGCTCGATTTCTGGTCAGGGCACATACCTATGTTATGGGTTCGATCCCCAGGTCTGGGCCCGTACGGGAAGCGACCAATTGATATTTCTCTCTCATATCCATGTTTCTTTCTCTTTCTCTCTCCCTCTCTCTCTCTCTTCCCCTTCTTCTTTCTAAAAATCAATAAATGTATCTTCTGGTGAGCATTTAAAAAAGGAGGTGGGCAAGAGCCGTGTGATTTTATGATATGCGGGATAGAAAAGAAAAAGGAACAAATCATCCAGCGTGTTCCTGGGCAGATGAACAACATGGGAGGAAACCCTGTCCTGCCACTCCCAGCCGCCAGGACATGTGAAAGTTAGGGAACAGAACGCTCTTTGTAAACTCTTATGTGATCCAAATTTAAGGGATGATGATGATGATGATGATGATGATGATGATAATGATGATGGTTGCAGCTGTCCACATTCCGTTTTCTAATTCCAAATCTCAGTACAGCCTTTCAGCTCCTTCTCCACCCGTCCCACCTTCGCTGGCTTCCAGACTTCTCTTCTCAGGCAGGAACATCTGCAGCTGACAAACCCCACTTGCTCCCTGGGCAACGGCCCTGTGTCCCTTCCTGCCTCAGGGCCAGCATCTGTGGGATAGGAAGGGTGGAGGAAGTAGAGTCCCTCTGAAGTTGCTCATTTCCCAGCAATTTTAGCCCGAAAAGGCGTGTGAGGCAGAGGGAAGAAGACATGCTGGCAGAAAGATGTCTAGGATCTATAGGTAGAACCCCCCAAGCTACAGCTCCCTCCCCCCTCCTGTGCATGGCCTCCAGGTGACTCTCCGGTCACAGGCTGTGGGTGAGCAGGAGCGAGGGATCCAGCCCTGGTATTAAACTGTCTGGTCTTTGCCTGGAGATTCTAAAAGTCGCCTCTACCCTGGGCCTCTGCAATTTGGTACTTAATTACAAGGTTTGTTTCTGTTCCTTATTCTCTGTGTCATCCCGCACACAAGGGCACGTGTCTTCCCCAAGGACCTTCTCTGGGCTGCACCTGGGTCTTAGGCATCTCTGTGTTAAGTTTAGAACTTGCCCATGACAAACTTGTCCAATTGGTTGGATATTATTGTGCCTTAATTTTCCCAACTCATTTTTATGGTGGTCCCAACTAAACTACTTCCTTCCTTTAAAAATGATGAAAAAATACGTGTCCGTGTACAAGAATGATCGTGTATTTGAAGTAGCTTCAAACCAGAAATAGCCTCCAATGTCTATAAACAGTGGAATGGATGGATTGGGCATATTCTTACAATGGAGCACCATACAGCAGTAAAAGTGAATAAACAACTGCTACATACATGACACGGCTAGTTCATACAAACATAACTGAGCAAAAAAGCTAGATATAAGAGAGTACGTAATGTAAGTTTCCATTTCTATAAAGTTAAAAATAGGCAAAACAAGTATATGTGTGAGAAGTCAGGATGATGTTAGATCTAGAGAGGAAAGGAGAAGTTATAATTGAGAGGATACCCTAGGGATTCTGGGTGCTGGCAATGCCCTACTTCTTAATCTGGTGGCAGATACATAGGCATGTTCACTTTGTGGTCATACATGTAACCCCCTTGGAATGGGAAGCCATTGGGAGGTCTGAACAGAAGACTGACGTGATCTCACAAAAATGAATGCGGCATGGTCCCTGTCCCCGCAGAGCTGACATTTGGGAAAGACATGACACGATAGAGGTGCTGGGATTAAGAGAGACACAGAACAGTTTAGGGACAGGAAAGAGAAATGCGTTCCAGCCCGAAGACTGGAGTCTACTCTCCAGGAGAGAAATTGAATTGCAAAAATTCTACTTACTTTAAAAAAATTAATAGACTAATTTTTAGAGCCATTCTAGGTTTATGGAAAAATTGAATGGAAAGTAGAGAGACTTCCTAGATATTCCCTCCCCCGACTTTTCCATCTTCCATTTGTGTTTTGACACACTATGATTAACTAAAGTCCATGGTTTGTATTAGGGTCACTCGTCCCACACATTCTGTGGGTTTTGACAGATGTATATGACACGACTTACCATTAGTGTCACGTGGATGGTTTCACTACCCTAAAAATTCCCTATGCTCCACCTTCTCATTCCTCCCTCCCTCCCTTCCTGGGAACCCCTGGCAACCACTGACCAATCCTCTCGCTGTCTCCAGAATTCCATAGAATTAGAATCATACAGCACGCAGACTTTTTAGATGGGCTTCTTTCACTTAGTATCTACTTACTTTTTAAAAACCTCTCAATACATTCAGAAGCAAAAGAACAAATAGAATTTTGGGTGTCTTTTTGGCACTGTGCAAGGCTCTGAGCCACCAACGGGCATAACCTGTTGGACAAATATGAATAAATTCCCAGCATTGTGACTACCACATTAGCACATGGCCAATATGGAATTATTGAACTGAACTACAGTTCTAACACCTGGAAACGTAGGCATTTCTCAGTTCTCCTGGGCCATTCACTTAAAAGAAACAGATAGCTCTCGTGGGTTGAGCCCTTTATACGTCCAGGCACTATGCTAAGCATTTTGTAAACATTATTTCAAATCAGCATTACCAATAATTCCTTGAGTAGGTATTACTATCTCCGCTTTACAGATGAAAAACAGGCTCAGAGATGTTAAGAAACTTGCCCAAAGTCACAAAGCAGCTAAAGTGAACCTTTAATTCATACTCGGATGGGAACCTTATCTCCAGGCTCATGGGACACTGCTGATGAGCCCACCAACTGTCGCTGTGGCATCTGCAGAGTGGACAAGCGGCCCAGCACTCAAAACTCTACTTATTTGTACAATTTCCAGAACTACATGTTTTTCTCATCCAACCAAGGGAAACTTAAAAACCATCTCGGTCCCATGACTACAGGAAACTGACATTTCAGAATCAGGGCTTGGTCTGAGAGAATGGAGGAGGAAAACAAGGTTTGCTCATTACCTCCAAGATCATTCTAGACCAGTTCTTAATCCCATGCCGTGTCTTGCATCTTCTATCACCTTTTTTTTATTTTTTAAGCGGTAACCTTTTATAACACGTTTACTGAGAGGTCTTCCACATGAACTTGAATTGACTAATTTGAATTGAAATTCTCTTCTCCTTGCCTGGATTGCAAGGAAATCCCTTGACTTCACACCTTCCCTGTCCCTCTGCACCTCATTGTTTCATTAACCATCATATTCTGGCCATTTATCGATAGAAAGGACCTAGAATTGTAGAGTGCCAAGTCAGAGGGACAGTATCAGAGGCAGCCCTGTGGTCTCAGTAATAGGAAATGCCCCCTCCCCCACCCCGGAGAATTGAGCTGCCAGCCGCTGGCCTCCCTGGATGGGGGTGAAGCCTCGTCACCACACAGCTAGTTCCTAGCAGTCAGGACCAGAACCAGGAGAGCTGTGTCCAAACCCCTGTCTTCAGCCCGATGAAGGGATCTGATGGGTAACTGTCTCAGATATTTTCCCCTTTTCTTCACTCAGCTGGCAGTTTATAACAGAGAGCAGCAAGCACGCAGCACCGCCTTAGAACACAGAGCTCAGTACGCACTGGTTCATCGCCCGATTAATGACATTGATCCCCAGCTGTCCATGTTCATCCAAATATCAGAGCCCAAGAAGGTACCCTCGTGCCCCCACGATCCCCTTCCTCTCCCCTCGCCCCTCCCAGCCCAGGAAGGAGCTGTGCTGGACAGCCTGGTTAGACAGAGGGCTGTCTGCTCAGGGACCATGGCCATCGTGTAGGGAAGCTCAGGAAATGGTGAAAGGCTTTGAAAGCCAAGCCTGTGAGGCAAGAGGGAAGGTCACAGTGGGTGAGGACCCGGAGGGAAGAGACAAATGCGGTGGGTAGAGCTGGGGGCAGGGCTGGCATCACCTTCACCAGTCTGGGTGATGCTCTTACCAGACTTTTTCATGAGCTGCGAAGGGCCACAGCCGACTTCATCGTTCTCCACCTCTCTGCTCACGCACACCTCACTCTAACACATCTTCAGCTGTCATTTCCTGAGTGTCTCCTGGGTCCCAGGCATGCTGCTGGGTGCTGCAGATTGAAACGCACAAACTTGAACCTGACTCCAAGGAGGTACCTTTTCTGCTTTCAATGGGGATTTCACACTCAACGTAACTTGTAGGGTTTTTGTAAACACCAAGGGAATCTGTAATACTGTCAACAATAAGAAATACATTTAAAAAATCCAAGGGAGATTTTAGTTATGAAAATGCTTTGAGTGGGTGGAGTCTCTGACCCAACATGATTGCCCTCTGGCTCAATGGGATGTGTGACGGGTCACTAGTGTCCTCACCACCGAGAGGAAGTGAACTCAGTGCACAGCACCTGCTGGACCGCATGGAGGGTCTGAGGTCGGAGCAGCGCTCAAGTTGTAAATACATGAGAAGCGGTGAGCAGAAGATTCCCAGGGTGAAGGGGCTGTGCAATTAAATACTGTTTTATTTCGCTTTTACTTTCTTTGTCATCTTCTCCTCCTCCTTTTTCTCCTCCTCCTCCTCCTCCTCCTCCTCCTCCCCCTCCTCCTCCTTTTGGTTCTATACAGAGGAAACCAAATGCAAATCGGTACAGTGCTTTACTCTTTAGGGACCCAGGTACCAGGGGCCTGCCTGTCAGGAAACAAAGCCTGGGTTGCACAGAGGCCTGGCTGCACAGAGGCCTGGGGGCCGGAGGTGGGGCCCAGGTTGTTTACCGGCTTGTTCTGGGGCAGGAGGTGGAACCGTCACCCACAGCACTAACCAGAGGAAACTGCCTGTTCCCAAGGTCATTGCAGGCTTCCTGCCCAGCACCTGTTCCCTCAGCCTTCGGAGGGCCTTCACCTTCACCTCAGATGTTTTCCATAGATGGGACAGGAGGGAGGGTTTGTGAATGACCAACCAACTCTCCCAGCTCAAACCTGAACTCCTCGTGTATCCTGGGGCGGCGGGGGGGGGGGGGGGGGGGCAGGGGGCAGTGCGCTGCAGGTGGAAAGAGCACCAGGCTTTTGAACTCCTGCATTTAAATCCTGGAAAGCTGCATGCCCCTCCCTGTACAATGAGGAGGGGGTATAAGAAGCACTAGCTGTGAGGGTGAGCTGAGAGAGAGAGAGAGAGAAGCATCTATGTGAAAGAAACACATCAATTCGTTGCCTCCCACACTTGGCCCGATCGGAGCTGGGGATGGATTCTGCAACTAAAGCACCTCCCCTTGACTGGAAACCGAACCTGAGACCCTACCGTGCACAGGCCAACGCTCTAACCACTGAGCAAAGATTGTAACTGAATTGCAAAAAGCAATCCACTGTGGAAAGTGTCCATCACCCACCTAACATGCCTCCATGGCAGCCCCTCTGCTCTGCGCACAGAGCGGGATTTGGTCAGCCACCAGTGGAAACCCTTTGACTTGGGGGAGAGAAGACCCCGCTCTGGCACCAGGAACGAGTCGCAGTCCCCCCACCACACACAGTAACCCCATTCTCCTAAGGTTGGCTACGGATGTGGCTCCAGGAAAGCTTTTGCTTTCTTGAATAAAAAGGAACAAATTCAACTGGCCGGCCCCGTGTGTCTCCTTGCCATGTCTCCTTCCCTGGGCACGGACATGATGCCTGTTCCTCTCATCATTCTATTCATGTTCCCTTTCAATCCTTGCGCACACTTACAGTAGCTACATTAAGGCTCTTGTATGTTAATCTCTGTCATTTCTAATCTGTTTCTCTTGATGCTTTCTCTCCTGGTTATGTCACATTTCCTGTTTCTTTGGCATATCTGTATTTTTTTTTATTTGAAAGGGAGAGAAATATTGATTTGTTACTCCACTCTTTTATGCATTCATTAACTGCTTCTTGTAGGGCCCTGACCAGAGAGTGAACTCACCACCCTGGCGTATTAGAGTAATGCTCTAACCCACGGGGCTACCCTGCCAGGGCCTATCTGGTGATTTCTTGTTGGATGCTGGACATCATAACTGTCGTCGAATGTTTAGATTGAGTCGGCAGGCAATTTGTTTCCTTGCAGACTGACCTGCGCACTGGGAAGTTGGTGTGTGAGCCGTGTTAGGGGACGTCTAGCATTCTCCGCAGGGCCCAGGTGCCCTTCCATAAGGCTTGAGCCTGTGAACTCCCAATTCAATTCCCAGCTGCTCAACCGAGACTTCCCCCTCTGGCCAGTCTCATATCAAATGTCTCCCAGGCCTGGGGGAGCCCTGCTGTTTGTTCAGCTCTCAGCTCCCTGGGCGTGTTTTTCCTCCATCATTGTTCTTCGCCTGTCTTTCTGGAGTTTCACCCTGTCTGTACAACTTTCCATCTAGCCAAAGATCCGAGGGAGCCCCATGCAGATTCCTGAAGCTCTTTCTCCTGTTTTGCCCCCTCGTCCCTGGCGTTCTACTGCACAATGTCCACACACCTCGCCCTCGTCCAACTCCAATTTCTGTCTCCTCAGCCCAGAGAGACCGCCCTGCTCTCCATGGGACCCGCCTCCTGGGGTGTGGTCTGGAAATTGTCCCCAGGCAGGAATCTGGGGCAGCCATAGGGCTCCTGCCGTTCCCTTTCCCTCTTTTGGGGTTCCCAGTGCTGCGCTGCCTGTCGCCTACCATCTGAAACACTGGTTTCACGTTTTTTGTTTTGTTTTTAAGTCTTTATTGTTGAAAGTATTACATATGTCCTCCTTTCGCCCCATTGACCCCTTCTAGCCCACCACCACCCCTCACCCCCGACCCCAGGCCTTCACCACCCTATTGACTATGTCCATGGTTATATGTGTACGAGGTCTTTGGTTGATCTCTTTCCGCCCGCCCACCCTCCCCAGCCTTCCCTCTGAGGTTCTGCCCTCTGTCTATGCTTCTGTGTTTCTGGGTCTATGGTTTAATGTTTTTAATCTAGTTCTCTAGTTTATGGCACCAGGGCTACTCTCCGTAAGTGGAAGTGACCTCAAACACTGCTTAAATATCTAGTACATTTTAGCTCTGCTAGTGACGAGGGTGTGAAGTTGAGTGCGAGTTCACCGGCATGTGCCGAGGAACCGAAACTCGGGTGGGGAAGTCCTTGCAGCTAGGAGGAGTGTCCAGGTGCTCTGCATGCTCAGGCTGTTTTTTGTGCCCAAATTGTATCATTTTACCGCAGCTTAGCTCCTCTGAGCACTCCCTGTCCCTCCGTTCCTGCCGTCTAACACTTGGAATACCGACTTCTTTAGCCAGCACCCCCTCCAACACCTTCCCACACCCGCTTTCCGACCAGCAAGGGAGGCCTTCCGGGCCCAGGTGCACTCAGACCACAGAGGACTGAGACCCGCTGCTTCACAGGCCAGTGGGACGAGCTTTCTGATTCTCCCTGAATCCTATCTGCTTCAGGTTTGCCCCAAAGGCCCCTAGTGTGTCTGTGAAACTGTGTTGTGAGCAGCGATACTTAAGCAAACTGGAGCCATCGGGAAATAACGAGAGCAATGACCATCGGCCTCTGCGTGTCAGGCCACTAGGGGCTGAGGGTCCTGGAGCACTCACTGTAGGACCTGTGCCAGCTGTGGGCGCCCAGCAGAGGGCCTCCTGCTCTTGGTTTCCCAGGGCCTGCAGTGTCCCTCCCCCAAGCTCATGCCCTTGCCAGGGTAGCCCACCTCTGGTACTCAGTGAGGTGGGAGGACAGTCCCAGGCATTTTGGTATGAAGCTGGACAACGCTGATGCAGTGAGTCCAGGTTGGCCAAAGCTTTGTCAGAGCTGCATCGTGGCTCTGTACAGTCCCCCTGTACAGTCCTGTCTCCTCCCCCTTCCTTTCACGGGTAACGATTCCTGGTAAATGGCTTGTGCCCGAGCTCTGACTCCACCTGTTTCCAGAGCACCTGGCCTGTGACAGAACCACCACTGGGCGTTGGCAGCACATGGAGCCCGGGTCCCCCGCAGCCAGCGCCTCAAGGTCAGGTGGTGGGTGATGAGTCCACAGGAAGGGCACCCTGACTCCATTCTTTTATATATATATATATATTTTTTTTTTTTTTTACTGATTTTTTACAGAGAGGAAGGGAGAGGGATAGAGAGGAACATCGATGAGAGAGAAACATCGATCAGCTGCCTCTTGCACACCCCCTACTGGGGATGTGCCCACAACCAAGGTACATGCCCTTGACTGGAATTGAACCTGGGACCCTTCAGTCCGCAGGCCGACACTCCATCCACTGAGCCAAACTGGTTAGGGCTGGGAGTCCATTCTGATCCAGGCACTCGCTAAGTGGCTCACATGCATGAAGCGGCTCACATGCATGATCACATGTAATCCCACAGACACTCCCGTGGGAAAGGTCATCTTGTCCTCCCCATCGGTAAAGACCTTCCCTGGCCTCTGTCTGCAGAGTCGGGGCAGGCCCCGGGATAGAAGATGCATCATTATCTCAGGTCCCCTCCAGGCCCTGGGCCCTATCTTCTGCAGCCTGAGCCCTGAAACGGCTTCCTTTTCATCTCTGCCTCCTGTTTCCACCCTCCTGCGCCTCCTTCCTCCCCCGGCTCTCAATTCTGCAGATCTGGCCGCCCCCGCACGGGCCCCACTAAACAAATCAGAGGCACTTTCCGTGCCCAACCCCACTCTCGAAACTAGGAAGGTACGATGCTCTCAGCCCACATCCTGTACCTGAGCGAAGTTCTCACCGGTGGTTCAACCCAGACAAGCCTTTATGTAACACCATTCAACTTATGGCTAGCCTGGCGGCCACCAAGTCTAGACTCCCATTCATTTATTCACTCACTTATCAATGACGAACTCCCAGCGATGGGCCTGCTGTGTGCAGGCGCTGGCTGGAAGGACGCCGATGAAGGACCTTTCATTTATTCTCACACTTGTTTATTCAACAACGACTTACTGAGATCCCTTTTTGTTTGAGACAAGTCTTGAAGATCTGGTGGGGAGCTAGTCAAGTTTTGACCTCACGTTTTCCTTAGTGGGAGGGAGAAGGCTTAGCGTCCACTATTCAACGACTTCACTGTAGTCCAGTCTCACTCACAAAGTCCCGAAGAATGTCCAAGAGATTCTCAGTTCAGGTTGGATAGTAACTTCTCACGCCACAGGGGTTCCCGGGCAAGGGGGACATTTGGGTGTCTCCTGCTGTTTGTTTTCTTCCTCCCTAGTTCTTTTTGGGGGGCTGGGCCTTTCTCATTAGGTTCTCCGGGTGCCTCCGGGGCCTGCCCCTCTCACCAGGGAACAGCTAGGCCCCTTGAATCTGCTCTCTCTCCTCTCTTGCCCTGATGGACACTTGGCCTCGGCTACCCTCCCTCCCGGCGTCCCGCCTTGTGGGTGGGGCTCTCTTCGCACGCGTCCCACATGTCCCAGGCTGGCATACGTGGGAAGAGTCCCGTCGCTTCTGCCCAGAGGCTCATTAACAAAAGCCCCTTGTCGTTATGCCAAGGTTAGGGCTGAGCCAGGCCCAGAAAACAAGGAGGGGAGGTGCCAAGCCTCAGGAATGCTTGCGTGTTGGGGCAAATGAGGAAAATCCATGTCTCCATATTTAGAGCTGCACAGAAGAAATGGATTTTCTGCATTTGCCCCTTTGACCTTCCCTGGAGTTCTCCCTCTGCCTCCTCCTTTTTTGGGGTCCACCTGTGCCACAGTGAGCAGGTCATGGACTCATCCTCTCTCCCTACTCATCCTCTCACCTTCTCTGAGGCAATCCCCATCCCCAAAGAGACCCTTGCAGGACACAAGACCACGCCCACCAGGTATTGAGCCTCCTTTCAGCCACCACCAGAGGGCGCCACGTCCCCCAGCCTCCCACAGTGCCGCCGCGGTCCTAACGGGGGTTGTGGTCAGGCTGGGTGGATCCCCTGGGGCTGGTTTCCACGCTAAAGGTCATGCCTTTGCTCCTCCCTGGGTCGCCTTCTGGGGCTGGGGAGCCCTCAGACGCCATCTGGACACCAGTGATGTGGCATCCTGGTGGGCTTCCTGTAGGAACACCCCTTTCTGCATGGGTAGTAAGGCTGGGAGTGGAGTGGAGGGACGTCCTAAAACATTGTGATCCTCAGCCTCCACCCACGGGCATCTTTGCAGCTGTCTTTTCTCGGGTTCCATGGCTCCTTGTCCTAGGCCTCGCTGCTTCTCCCTTCAGTCAAACCCAATTAGAAATGTCTGCCCCCTGATTCCCTCCAGCCTCTGTAAACCATACCACCTTCAATTAAACAGAAGCAACCTTGGCAGGTAACGCTTTCTCACTCCAGACTTGGTGACACCTCCCAGACTTCCAGCCACTGCCTGACATCAATCACTGCAATCGAGTTGAGGAGATGGCCCTAGCCGGTTTGGCTCAGTGGATAGACCATCAGCCTGAGAACTGAAGGGTCCCGGGGTTTGATTCGGGTCAAGAGCACATACCTCAGTTGCAGGCTCCTCCCCGGCCTGGGCCCTGGTGGGGTCTCGTGCAGGAGGCAACTAATTGATGTGTTTCTCTCACATAGACGTTTCTCTCTGTCTTTCCCTCTCTCTTCCACCCTCTCTAAAAATCAATGGGAAAAATAGTCTCAGGTGAGGATTTAAAAAAAAAAAGAAAAATGAAGGAGCTGGAGGGTGGGCAGGGTCAGCCGCACCTGCAGCCTGACTTCCCTTGTCCATACTCCTCCCCTAGGGTCCAGCTGGCCTCTTGGACATGCGGGGCCTACTCTGAAATGACTTTGAACCCGAGGCCAGCCTCATACCCGTGCCAGATATGCCATTTCCTTAAATGTACCTTCAGTCAACAGCCTTTCAAGGCTGTTCTCACAGAGCCTCCATTGTGTCCTGGGTTGATTACCAAGAAGGAAAACACAGATAAGAGTCAGAGGGTAAACGGAGCCAGGTGATCCCGCTGCCCCTTTATCCCTGACTCCCCCCTGGCCCATTGATGGGGGCCAGGTTCCGGGTGGCAGGGCCTGCCGTGATCCCTATAAAAAGCTCCTGGGTGCTCGCTCAGGCCTGGAACGGGCAGGTAGGACTTCCCACCAAAATGGGCAAGTTGCTGATTCTTGTTGGTGAGTCTTCCCAGGTGGCCCAGGTCAGCTCTCAGAGAAGCTGCTCTTTCTCCTCCATTCACTCCACCCCCCACCCCCACCCCCACTCCCTGTGCTCCAAGGTCGCCTGCACTGTCCCTTTCTCTCTTGGGATCATGACATAGTGGGGAAGGAAGGAAGGAAGGAAGGAAGGAAGAAAGGAAGGAAGGAAGGAAGGAAGGAAGGAAGGAAGGAAGGAAGGAAGGGAGGAAGGAAGGAGGAGGGAGGGAGGGAGGGAGGGAGGGAAGGGAGGGAAGGACCCTTGAGCACCGGAGGGCTTCAGATAGGAGGGGAATGGATACCTAGTGACCAGGACAAGCTCATTTCCCCCAGGTAGGATGCTGGAGCCTCGCCTCTCCCATTCTAATGTCCTGTGATTCTTCCACACGGCCAGCCACAGAGCAGGAGCTCAATGCACGGTCCTGACCGAGGATTCATCAGCTGACAGGAGCAATTAATAGGAAACAAGAAATGGACGAGGCAGATTTTCTCTGAATACATACTGCGGGGACAGGTGTGAGGGGCCTGGGGAGGGAGGCAGGAAAGGCCTTAAAGAGCTAATGCAGTTTCTCCCGCGCTAGCTCCTCCCCACAGAGCATGCCCACTGTGGCTAGCAGCCCAAGGAGAGGGATCGGTGGGCGGGGCACAACAGCTCCTCCCACTTATGATTGGGTGGCTTGAAAGGGATTCAAATTCAGAAGCATCCTTTGAGTTGAAAAGTACCAGTATAGTGGAGTTGGTGCTAGAAAAGGTGAGTTCTGGTTGTCAGAGTGAAGGGACCGCCATGGGAAGGGGCCCTCGGCCTGAAACCGGCCTTGGGCACCTCCAGTTCCTCCTCTGCCCTTCTCTACCATTTGGCTTATCTTTAGGGTCCATTCATTCAAAATGGACCTTATCTTTAGGGTCCATTCATAGGGTTGACTATGTACCAGGGGTTCTGCTGGGTAGCGGGGACTCAGCGGGGCAAGCACAGTCCCTGCCCTGAGGAGCTCAGTCTAGTGGGAAGTCCAGCAGGCTGTTATCTGTCAGTGCGGTAAGTGCGGTGATGGAGATAAGCCACCGCAAATACCCGAGGAGCCTAGAGGGAGAACAGAGACCCAGCCCGAATGCCACCCTCCGGGGAAGTCTTCCATGACACCCTGTGCGCGTCCCAGTTTCATCACTTGTCACGTTGCGTTGCAGCACCTTTGGGCTTACAGGTTTGACTTTCCCGCCAGACTGTGAGCTCCTGGAGGGCAGGGGCCATGTCTAATTTTATCTTTCTATCTCCAGCACCCATCACTTAATAGGAGTTTCTAGAAGAATAACAGCCCTAGCCAGTTTGGCTCAGTGGATAGAGCATCAGCCCTCGGACTGAGGGGTCCAGGGTTTGATTCCGGTCAAGGGCATGTACCTCAGTTGCAGAGTCGATCCCCAGCCCTGGATGGGGTGCATGTGGGAGACAACCAATCAATGTGCCTCTCTCACATCGATGTCTCTCTCTCTCTCTCTCTCTCTCTCTCTCTCTCTCTCTCTCTCTCTCTTTCTCCTTCTCCTTTCTACTCTCTCTTTAAAATATCAATGGAAAAATATCCTCCAGTGAGGATTAACCAAAAATAAAAATAAATAAAAATAACAATAAATCTCCCTGGTTCCTGAGCTCCGCACTGTCATCTGAGCGTCCAGGTCGCTCACTGAATCCTACCTTAGCTGCCTTCCCGGAAAGCATCAGGCAGGGTCCGTGCTGGGGAAGGGCCTGTAGAGCAGAAGGGGCATCAGTGCTCAGCTGCTCTTCTCCACTTCCTGGCCTGTGTTCTCCGCTTACTGGTCCACTCCCTGCAGGGAAAGGGTGACCTGCCCCCCTCTGACCAAAGTCTCTTTTCTTCTTTAGGGCTGGTCCTCCTGCTGCAGCTGGGTAAGTGCCCCATGTGAGGGTGGGGAGTGCCAGGGTTCCCTGCGGAATGGGGATCATCTCTAACCTCCCTGCCACTCCAGGCACAGCAACCAAACTTGTGTGCTACTTCACCAACTGGAGCCAGTACCGCCCTGGCACTGCCAGCTACATGCCCGAGAACATGGACCCTTGTCTGTGCACGCACATCATCTATGCTTTCGCTGGCATGGCCAACAGCCAGATCACAACCATCGAGTGGAACGATGAGGTCCTCTTCGCCGGCATCAGTGGCCTCAGGAACTAGTGAGGCAAGGGCTTGGGCTCAATGCTGGGTTGGAGGTTTCCAAATGGGCCTTTAGGACGTTCCCCGAGAGAGACCAACACCAGGACACCTAGTCTTGGAGTTCTGACCAGTCACTCTCGGGCGTCATGGGCAGGGCCGTCCGCATGCTCTGCCCAGGACAGGCAGGGTGCTGTCATTTTTCTGAATTATTTTCTCACCAGATTCTCAGCCTTGCAGTCTGTGTATTCCGGGAGGTGCCCTCCTGGGGTCATTGTGAAGACTGCCCCCTGGAGTTTGTGAACTGTGGTGCATCCCACACCAACCTATACTCGAGCTCCCAACAGAACCTAAGATGGTTCTTGTGCCAATTAAACGCTGAGCTTATTTACTGGGTGACTACTAGGTTGGGCATTTTTCTAGGTGCTTCCCATGCTAGGAGAAGAATATCGCCTTTTCTGGAAAATGTTATGTCACCTTTCTTCATTCTTGATGTTTTCATTTTCAAATTTGGCGGTAAACCTCTACTCTCCCTAATAGTCCCACAGACTCTAGTTTTGTTCTGTAGCAGCAATTCAGCAGTAGATGTAGCATTGAAATAATTATCCTGGTAAATATGGTGCCAGATGCCAAGATAGGGTCCTAGGACTGAAAGAACAGTTTCTTGCAATTTCCTTCCTTCCGCAGTGTATATCTCCATATTGCAGATATAGCCGGTGTCACTCTCGCACACCATCCGAACAAATAAACCATATTTTGTTATTTTCACTGGGTTGTACGTGCGAAATTTGAAACGTCCTCTCCATGGAATCATTCCCTCGTCCAAAGACAACTGTTGCTTTGGTTTGTATATTGTTCGAAATTTATGCAGGAAATAATCCAGCACAGGTTGAATCTTGAAAAGTCTCCCCAAGCGACTGTCCATTTCGGCGTTATCATTGAAATGCCAGAATGTCCATATTTGCTCAAATCTATGGCGACTCATTGTCTGTGGAAATATAGGGGTACATAGCAAAGGATCTGTTGACCAATAGTCTTTCAAGCTATCTTTTCTTGTTTGGCCCATCAGAATAACTAGGCCAAGGAATTTCTTGATGTCCTTCTGGGTAACCAGAGACCACTTTAGTGTTCTAGATGGTGTTTTGCGTTTCATTGCGGTTTGATCGTGATAGTTGGACAGCTCTTTGCACAACATCTCAAACAGTTCATCACCAAAAAAGATATTGGTCACAGAGGGTACAGAGTCACACTGAGACGGAAATGTAGTGACCCCAGCATGACCTTCAAACATTTGTAAGCGTGGTGGTGTGTCAATTTCAGACCAACAATTATCAGTGGCTTCGTCAGTGTCGGAATCACTTGAAAGCACCGCCACCTTGCGCTTCCTTACAGGCCTAATAATTTCACTGTCAGTAGAATCAGTAGAATTGCCTCCGGAATCGTCAAAACAGTCATCCGCATCTTCGATCTCACTAGGAATCTCTGATAAATTATCGTTAAATGCTTCCGGAAGAGTATCAGTTTCGTTGGTTTCCTTCCTTTTTCTGAGAGAGGGCATTTCTAAAAGCGCCAGGAACTTGAAGATGAAGACTATTCGAATGACCAAAAGACAATGTAACTGCAATGCTTTATGGGTTTGTGCAATTATATAGTTTTTCATAGATTGACCTGCACAGTTTCCACCAATGACAACGCTTCATTCGATGTGGACTGTGCCGCGCCAGCACGGCCAAGGGTGTCTCTGAGTGGGGGGGTGAAAGGATTAAGGAAAGACAGATAAGAGAATAATAGCTGGGTCTCGGTGGGACGCTGCTCCCTGAAGAGGAGACAACGCCAGCGCCCACAAACCGTGTCTTTATTTTATAGCAGATGCCACGAGGCAAAGTAGGGGCGTGATCATGTTGTTTACAGCATTCTCATGAGTCTCAACCTCACTCAACTACATGCACCTGAACTCTATCACAAGGCACGTGGGGCTATGTGTTCGGACCATAGGTTCAAGCTTACAACCACAGCCATTGGCTATGATTGTGCTGGGAGGGCCCTGCCCTCCAGCTAGGACTTGCACGTGCAGTGAGAGGACCCTGTCCTTTCATTAGTCCGAGGCTTGAACTTGCCAAAACACGGTAACCGCGTCCCACAGTGGACAAGACAGTGTGTTGACATCTAAGGTCCATAACAGATGGCACGCGAAACACGAGAAAACTCCTGAGCGGTACTTAAGGTGCTACGTTCATTTGTGTAACAAAAATACCAATTACAAATAAACATTTTAAAAATTACACAGTTCTGATGCCCCTTTCACTCTCATGTGTGCCTGGGTTTGGAAGGTGAATTAAGTGAAGGGACTCAGAGTTGTTGACCAGATGTCCCATTGTGTACCGAATGTCCTCATAAGTCGGCAGCAAAGAAGTCCCCAGAGTTGCACCAGGTGCTGACTCAGCCATTCTGTAAGCTAACTACAAAACCAGAACTTGAGCTTAATTTCTCATGGATTTGACATCTTTAGCACATATTTCACAGCCACAAAAGCATTTCTGACTCATGGTTCCCCAGGCCTCGCTGTGGCTTGCACTTCAGCCTTTGTACGTGTCTGGGTTGCTGTCTTCATCTTAAGAGTCTACACACCCGAATGGCTCCTTATCGCGTTGCCCTGGCTCTGCGGGAAGGAAGTCACTCTTGGTATTCCCCCAATCCTCACTCCAAGTCCCTTCCTGCTGCTTTATTTATAAAGCCAACACTTATAAAGGGTACTTGATGGGCAGGCCCCATAGAAACATCCACTTGCTAATCTTCATAAGACCCCCTAGGTCAGCGGTTCTCAACCTGTGGGTCACGACCCCTTTGGCGGGCGAATGACCCTTTCACAGGGGTCGCCTAAGACCATCCTGCATATCAGATATTTACATGACGATTCATAACAGTAGCAACATTACAGTTATGAAGTAGCAACGGAAATAATTTTATGGTTGGGTCACAACATGAGGAACTGTATTTAAAGGGCCAGAAGGTTGAGAACCACTGCTCTAGGTAGTCATGGTGATGATGCCCACTTTCAGGAACATGGCACAGAGAGGCTGAGAAATGGCATAGAGTCCTGCACCTTGGACATGCATTGGAAAGCTGGCAGTGTGGTTCTGGTGTCTGTGACCTTTCCCACACCCTGGGCTGTCCTTTGGTGCAACCACGCCATGAGACTACCTCTCACTCCCAGGCCAGGCTGGATATTCTAAAAGCAATCTTCTCCAAAAACATCTTCTTGATTCTCTCCACCTACCTCTGCCCATTTCTTTGGAACCCTTAAATCCAGATGCGTAGCTGCCCACTCATCCAGCTGGTCTCCTTTTTAGTTGGTTCTAACTGTTACTCTGGACTAACTTGTCCGATAGCACTTAATTCAACAGGTCATAATTTCCTCTTTCATTATCTGCCTGCAGCAGTGATAGTGAGCCCTGTGTCTTGTTTACTCAAACAGTCCAGCACTCACATGGTACCTGGCACAATGTAGGTCATGATTAAATAAGTGAATGAACATTAATAAATACCTTGAAACAGATGCATTCCCCTGGTATTTACTCTAAGTGCAGTATTGACTGTAAGGTTATAGAAGACAGGAATTGTGCCTCCTCCCTTTCTTCCTTCCAATTTGTGACTCACATTTTCCTGGAAGAATGCTTTTTAAAAAATACGTCCTGATTAGAAAACTGTGGTACATCTACGTGATGGAATACTATGCTGCTGTAAAAAAGAAGGAATTCTTACCATTTGCAACGGCATGGATGGAACTGGAGAGCATTATGCTAAGTGAAATAAGCCAGTCAATGAAGGGAAAATACCACATGATCTCACTCATTTATGGATAATAAAGACCATTATAAACTGATGAACAAAAATAGATACAGAGGCAGAGCAGCCTCGAACAGACTGTCAAACTACAGTGGGAAGGCTGGGGAGGGCTGGGGGGCAGGAGGGGAGGGTAAGAGATTAACCGAAGGACTTGTATGCATGCATATAAGCATAACCAATGGACATAAGACACTGGGGGGTAGGGGAGGCCAGGGGATTGTCAAGGGTGGGGAAAAAAAGGAGACATATATAATACCCTTTGTAGTACTTTAAGCAATAAAACAATTAAAAATATATATGTCCTGCCTGATTTCCCATATGCTAAGTCCTATGAAATGACAACACTCTCAGCATATACTTAAGCATTTTTTAAACAAGAAGATATATTGACAACCTAGAATGTTTAGTCCATTTACATTTAATGTAATTACTGGTGTATTTAGGTTTAAACCTAATTTTTTTTTTTTTTACTACTCCAGTCAACTAACTAAAGGGAACCTTTACTGAGACCTCACACCCATGGGGCTTATGCAGGAGGCCACCCTGCAGGGCTGGAGGGCATGCATTTGACCTTCTTCTTAGGGTGGAGGTTGGTGGTGGATTGTAACATTTAATGGCGCAGACGTGCAGGCAAGGGAAACACTTGGGACAGATCATTTTTGTGGAAGTTGCATTTCTGAATGAGCTGGAGGAGGGAAGGCTCACTAATGTCACTTAGCAGGCAAAGCACCAGGTTCAGGGTGAATTTTTTCTGGATGGTAAAGTCTGAGTGTGGCCATCCTCTAGCTGTTCACTCACAAGAATCAGATGCTGCTGGCTGGGCAGGGTGCCCTCCTTGTCTTGAAACTGGGCGTTAACATTCCCAATGGTGGCACTGGGTTCAACCTCAAGGGCGATGATCTTGCCCATCAGTGTTTCACAAAGATCTGCATCTGTCGATTGGCTGCCTCATTGGAGGGAAAGAGCTAAATCTACACTCCTTGACTCACATTTCAAATCCTGCTTCTCCTGTTTGGAGGAGAATAACAGTTGTGAAAAGGGAAACAAGGAAGGAACATCTTCAGAGTGCAGACTAGTCTGGCAAATGCATTCTAGACAACTGTACATAGGAAATTTGAGTATCTGGACATTTATTCTATTTTTTAAAAAGGCTGTGAGATATTCTAGCATCAGGGGAAAGAGATAGAGTGAGAGCATGTTAACCTGTTTCTGGAAAGGACCGCGGAAACCATCTGCTACCAATAGATGAGGGTGAAATAGCCTCTTAGCGCTCTCCACACAGAGAGTGTAGCCCACTGTACAAAACCATTTTGAATTATGTAAGCTATTCCGTAATGGAGCTTATTAGTATGGTGTCTGGGCTTGAGCCCAATCCTTTCTTCTTATAGAGTAAAATCAAGATAATATGGTTTCCCTGTCAATAATGGGTTCTTAAACGGGTTTGAGGTTTATGAGCACTACCAATACCAACATTGACTTTGGAGGCAATTACGACAAATGAGAAACTGATAAGTCACAGGAGGGGGGTATAAAAGGCAGGTTGAACAAGGGAGTTTCTACCCCTGAGGCAAGATGGCCAAGCTCACCCTCCTCACTGGTAAGGAACCACCGCCACTCTGTGCCCTTGAGCCACTCTCTCCCTCCTGCTTTTCTGCCCCTTTAAAACCTTTGAACTCAACCCAATCGCCAGAGATGATCGCTTTGGGGAAAGCACAGGGACACTGTTCCTTTCCTGGTGATAGGTCTCCCACTGCTCGGCGGTCCCCTCCCTTCCCCAAGCCTCAAGGCTCATGGCCCTTTAGTGGTCTTGTGAGTGGGAGTAGAGGGGAGTGGGCTTCTAGGAGAAACCTTAGGACTTTATCGGCCTCAGAAGGTTGGAGGGTACAGAGGTGTTAAAGGGACTCGAAGAGTGAAGCGTAGGGAACATGCTACTGTGCGTGAAGCACCGTGTGGAAAGGCTGCTGTGTCCGCAGACGTGTTCCTCCAGCTCATTGTTCTCTCTGTTGCTTTAAGGTCTGCTCCTTGTGCTGACAGCCGAGATAGGTATGTATGCTTCTTGGCAGGGACCCCCATATTGTTCCTTTTTCGTTTCTTCATCATTTGGAAACTCAGCATGGCCCTCCGTCCTTCTACATAAAACAAAGACTATTAATTAATTTTTTTTAGAGAGTTGGAAATTCCTTAACCAAGTTAAGGATTGAGATCATTCTAAAACCCCAACGCTAATATTAACTAGACAGTGGTCTCACACATAAATGTTAATAAAAAAATAACATGACCAGGCATCTTCATGGTGCCATTTGCTCTGTTAAAAGCATTTTCAAGTCTGTCATCTCACTGAGTCTATAAAACAACTATTCGCTGAGAGGAGGAAAAGGCATTACATCCATCTCGCAGCCCAGTAAACTAAGGCAGAGAATGACTTATCATATGACTTGTCCCAGGAAATATAGGGAGGTCAGGGCAGAATCTAAACCTGGAGCCAGAACTCTTGACTGTGAGAGGATAGTTTGTTTCCTTCTGAGTGAAGTTATTACTCAGGGAGACAGCTACACGTGCTACACAGACTAATACCATCATCCTACCTGGGTTGTAGTTTCCAAATGAGTAAAATGGGAAGAATAGTAGCACCTACTTCATAGGATTTTGGTGATGATTATTGAATGAATTTAAATAAATTACTGAGAGCAGTGCTTGGTAAATCATAAATGCTAAGTGAGCATTAGTGTTTGCTAGTGTTAATTAGCATGCTGAAGGGACTAGGACAGTGGTTCTCAACCTTGTCTGCACATTAGAATCACCTGGGAATCTTTTTAAAATCCTGAGTTCTGGGCCTCATCCTCTGGAAATTCTGTTTCTTTGTTATGGGGTGGGGCCACAACATTAGTAACAAAGAAACAGAATTTCCGGAGGATGAGGCCCAGAAATCAGGATTTTAAAAAGATTCCCAGGTGCTTCTAATGTGCAGCCAAGGTTGAGAACCACTGGACTAGGGTAAATTTAAATCAGAGTTTACTGCTTTAAGGTTTTATCTCAGCAAAGGGCACTGATTTCTAAGGGTCTTTAATTCTCTCTTGAGGGACAGAGCTACCTCTGACAGATATCTTCAGCCCCAAATTGCCTGCTAATTATGGGTTGGCCACAATACACAGGGATCTCAGGCACATCTCCCCCCTCCCAATTCATTTGGAAGTCTGTGGTTTCTCAGGCAATCAGAGACGGTGTCATCCCCAGGGAGCTTGCTCTCTCATTGTTTCTCACCTCTTCCTCTGGGGACCAGGTTCTGCCTATCACCTGACATGCTACTTCACCAACTGGGCCCAGTACCGGCCAGGCCTGGGCCGCTTCAAGCCCGATGACATCGACCCCTGCCTCTGCACTCACCTGATCTACGCCTTCGCCGGGATGCGCAACAACGAGATCACCACCATCGAATGGAATGACGTGACCCTCTACCAGGCTTTCAATGGCCTGAAAAACAAGTAAGTGATGAAAGGACTGAAGTTTAAAATCTTTTAACCTTTGAGAATAGTTTGGATGAAACCTTCCACAGTGGCCTCCAGGCTGAAATTCCAAACAGGCCAACAAGCAGCACACAGATAAACTGCCAGCTTTCTGACAGTTTCCATGACAGGGGTGACCCTCACTTAAGGGCAATGGCTGGCTCTCAGGAGGGGGTCATCAACTAAAGTCTAGCTCAGTTGCCAAGGGAAGTTTAGAAAAGTCCAGTGCTATAGACTCAAGTGGGAACAACCTTCTACTTGGAAGCAACCTGAAGCTGGCACTGATGAGCACACCGTGTCCGCCATCTAATGCCACCACTCCCACAGTTGAGGAGGAATGGATGAGAATGAAGAAACCAGTATGAGAGTTGGCGTGAGACTTCTCCTGGCTGAGCAATCATGAAACCAGGTGATGTTGAAATGATTTCGCTTTCTTTCCATTTGTTCTGACACACTCTTTGCTTCTTTCCCCTTCAGAAACAGTCAACTGAAAACTCTCCTGGCCATTGGCGGCTGGAACTTTGGGACTGCCCCGTAAGTTTTGCAAGATGACTTCCTACACCGATGTTATGACAAGGTGTCAGGACTGTGGAGGCAAGCCCTCATCCTGCCCTCTTGGGGTCTCCCATAGTTTCACTGCCATGGTGTCCACTCCTGAGAACCGCCAGACTTTCATTGCCTCGGTCATCAAATTCCTGCGCCAGTATGGCTTTGACGGACTGGACTTTGACTGGGAGTATCCTGGCTCGCGGGGGAGCCCGCCTCAGGACAAGCACCTCTTCACTGTCCTGGTGCAGGTGAGCTGTGTTCCATGTCATTTTTAAATTCAAATTCATTTTTAAATTCCAGTTTGCATTCGATATTCTTTAGTATTAGTTTCTGAAGAGCACACAACCCATTTCATATGCAAGATCACTGAGGCCATACAGAAAACCCAGCTCCCTGCAACCTCAGTGGGAGAGGAAGGACCTGGATGCCCTATTGCCGTGAGAATGCTGAAGAAGGAAAGATGGACGATTGATTAAATTTAATTCAAAGAATAGTCATGAACGTCAACTTAGAGTTCACGTTCATAGACGTTCTCCTACTCTTGCACAGGAAATGCGTGAAGCTTTTGAGCAGGAGGCCAAGCAGGTCAACAAGCCCAGGCTGATGGTCACTGCCGCAGTCGCTGGTGGCATCTCCAACATCCAGGCTGGCTATGAGATCCCCCAGCTGTCCCAGTGAGTGACCACTTGTCCCCAGCTCCTCTGTGTCGCTCGTGTAAGAGACGCTCATCCTTAGCCTGTCTTGCTATTCAGGGACCTTGTTGAGGAGGCTTTGGGAGGGGTATCTTTGCCTGCAGAGGTGTGGGAGATGACCACCAGAGATGATTTTACCTGCTTTACCTGGACTGCAGGTACCTGGACTACATCCATGTCATGACCTATGACCTCCATGGTTCCTGGGAGGGCTACACTGGAGAGAACAGCCCCCTCTACAAATACCCGGCCGACACTGGCAGCAATGCCTACCTCAATGTGGTGAGTCCCTATACAGACATATATACAGACCAGAGATGGTGTCCTAAATCACATGGGGATTCGGGGACAAAAGGCATCATAAATTTAGTCAGGTTCTCAAGTGGAAAATCAGGTTGCTATAATTAATTAACTAGTTCCCATTTACAAAAAAAAAATAAAAAAATCACCAACTAATTAACACCAAACTGCCAATTTTATCAGATAGGAAAGAAGATTAATAACAAGTGCTTCTTTAAGAAAAGAAAATGAGGCACTACTACTCATATTTCAATAAATTACAAACTGTTTCTCTGATCTTTCCTGTCTTCCTATTCCCCGGTTGCCTTGTCTAATTCTACTATTCCAATCTTTGCACATGTATGCCATGCAGAATTTCAGCCATTCACCAACAGATCATACCAGGAAAATCATGAGAAAAAAAAAAAAAAAACTTAGTCCTTCACTCATGGTTTGAATGGGAAAAGTTTACCTAAAGCTTTCATATTGGCGTGTCATTAAAAGAAGTTAGTTGAATAAGGACAAACCACTTCAGTAGAGGTACATCAGTGATGCTCTAAAACACTGCAGCAGGCACAACCATACACAAACACTGGGCTAACCACTCATTACCAGGCCTACAGCCTGGTGGGGCCTCTCTCTGACCTGCTGCCATTGCAGGATTACATCATGAACTACTGGAAGGACAACGGGGCCCCAGCTGAGAAGCTCATCGTTGGATTCCCATCCTATGGACACACCTTCATCCTGAGCAACCCCTCCAACCATGGGATCGGGGCTCCGATCACTGGCCCTGACCCTGCTGGGCCCTACACCAGGCAGTCTGGGTTCTGGGCCTACTATGAGGTATGCTCCCGGCAATCTGAGAGAGGCAGAGAAAGGTGGCATTCTCTAGGCCAGGGGTTTAACAATATAAAAGCCCAACATGTCTTGGCTCACTTAACAAGTAGTTGGCTCATTACGGGCGGCAAGATGAGCACTCATGTGGCACGTTAGGCTGGATTCCAAATACAGAGAGAGTAGGAAAAGGAGATACCATCAGCGAGATTACATCAGTGAACAGACACTGCTCGCTGCCTGCCAAGGCATTCTTTGATTTAAGAGCTTCTCCCACATTGAAAATAAATGACCCACATGTGACAAAGGATCAAATCCTAAAGGAACTGAGAAATTTGCTTGATAGAGCTCTAGGCCTTCCTTTTCAAGTAGCTTCATGCATCCCTTCTCTATTTCCCTCCCCCATGCCCTTTACCCCTGCTACATGGACACTTTGCCCACCTCTTGACCTCTTCCTTACCTCCTCTTAGATCTGTCCCTTCCTGAAGAATGGCGCCACTGAAGTGTGGGAGGCTGCTGAGGATGTCCCCTACGCTTACAAAGGCAATGAGTGGCTTGGCTATGACAACACCAAGAGCTTCAAAATCAAGGTGGACTGTGTTCTATGGATTCTTGTTGCCTCTTTGTTCCCACCCGTAGCCCTGGAGCCCCAGGCTGGCCTTGATGTCTGCACTTCATTGGATTTCTCTGTAATTACCACAGGCTGACTGGCTGAAGAAGAACAGCTTTGGAGGCGCCATGGTCTGGGCCATCGATCTGGATGACTTCACGGGCACTTTCTGCAACCAGGGCAAATTCCCCCTGACCACCACCCTGAAGGACGCCCTGGGCCTGCAGAGCGAAAGTGAGTTGGAGTTGAGACCCTAAGCCTCAAACTTGAGAGACGTTTCAAAGCTTTCTTTAAAGTCAAGGAGTCATGGTCCAAGGGATTTGATGACTATTGCTCTATTCATATTTGGTAATGTTTCAATAATGGTGGGGAGAACAAACAGGGTTCTTCACCATTCCTTTATCCATGACTCATTTCACAAGCAAGATTTTAGCATCTATTAGGTATTAGCACTAAGTAGGTATGGCAGAGGATCCTGAATACATAAGTCACAACCTCTACTCTATAGAAGCTTACAATCTAATGGGAGAGATACTATTGATGAGATTTCAAAGCTAGATAACAAAGAAGATATTCTATGGTGAAATCCCAGAAAAGGGATAAGAAACCTCCTTGTGACTTTATGTCATTAAGGTCTCAATGCACCAGGGGAACTAGGAAGGAGGAAAAAAAGACAAATTATGCTTTGAAGGATGAAGAGGGAGTTGGTTGATAAGCAAAGAGGAGAGGGGAGGGCAGGCATACCAGATCAGGAGACTGAAATATGCACAGACATGGAAGGAGGAGCTAAGAAGCAAATCCAGGATATTAGTTCTCACGCATCAGACACGCTAACAGAAAGCAGGGGGGCTCAGGATCTGGCTTCTTTCTTTTAGGTTGCAAAGCCCCAGCCCAGCCCATTGCTCCCATCACCGAGGCTCCCAGTACAGGTGGAGGCAGCGGCAGTGGCAGCGGCAGCGGCAGCGGCAGTGGCAGCTCGGGAAGCAGCCCCGGTGGCAGTGGATTCTGTGCCAACAGGGCCAGTGGCCTGTACCCCGACCCCACTGACAAAAACGCCTTCTACAACTGCGTGAACGGACACACCTTCATTCAGCACTGCCAGTCCGGCCTGGTCTTTGATGCCGCCTGCTCCTGCTGCAACTGGTGATGTCTTTGCCAGACACCACGTCCCTCATTCCAGCTCAGAAATTGTTGTACAATAAAGGGTTGAGCATTACTGTGCAGTAGCTTCTACTTCTTTCCTGTAGGGTCTTGAATGTAGTTAACCCCAGTCTCCCAATGACATACGATAGCTCCACCAGCCCACCAGCCATGTGGTTTCTATGGTGAGCACCCAGAGCAGGCACGGCTCTCTCCTGGGTGCTGGGTGGAGGGAGCGGAGGGATTCAAGGAAGATGCCTGGTCCTTTCATTCTCAGAACATGTACTCAGAGGAGGGTGGGAGGAGACAAGGATGTAAGAGTCAAATAAGGACCCATAAACAAACGTGTCTCTATACACTCCTTTAGAGCAGAGATTTCCAACTGGTGTGTCAAGAATTTTTAAAACATGCAATATCTGACTCTTTAGGCAGATGCACTGACCTCTTTTCCCTGAGAACGTCAAATAAAAAAATGACAACAGACAGCACAACAATAGCCATCCAGTGTGAATGAATCAAAATTATACCTATTTTTTTTTTTTGGTGTTGCAGAATTTTAGTAATTAGTTTATGTGTGCCATGAGACGAAAAAGGTTGAAAATTGCGGTTTTAGAGAACTATTTCTAGATGTTCAAGGGATGCAATAGTGAAGATTTGGAGGTAGTTTATATGTGGAAATAAGAGAGGAAGTGGGTTTGAGCAGGATTGGGGAGGATTAGGAGGGATAGTGAGACAGAGGAGTTGGGGTACTCTGGGAAGGCAATTTAAAGCGAGGAGCCTGGCCCATGTAAAAGTTGGGAGGTTGTATGTAAATTTCTTGAGCTAAACCCAAACAAATTAAGCTTTATTATTTAAAATAAACTTAAGAATTTAAATCACTTCGATAAATTGGAGGTTGAATTCATCCATCAATGGACACTTAGATTGTTTCCACATCTTGGTTTATAAATACTGCTGCTATGAACAGGGGGTGCAGGGGTCTCCTTGACAAAGTGCTTTCATTCCTTTGGAGACATATCTAGAAGTGGGACTGTTGGATTATGTAGTAGTTTTGTTCTTAATTTTTTGGAGAAGCTCCATATAGTTTTTCATAGTGGCTGCACCAATTTACATTTCTACCAACAGTACACAAGGGTGCCCTTTTCTCCACATCCTTGTCAAAACTCACTATCTCTTGTCTTTCGATGAGAGTCATTCTAACAGGTGTGTGGTGACATGTCACTGTGCTTCTGATGATAAATATCTTTTCACACACCTGTTGGCCATTTGGATGTCTTCTTTTTTTAAAAAAATATATTTTATTGATTTTTTACAGAGAGGAAGTGAGAGAGACAGAGAGCTAGAAACATCGATGAGAGAGAAACATCGATCAGCCGCCTCCTGCACATCTCCCACTGGAGATGTGCCCGCAACCCAGGTACATGCCCTTGACCGGAATCGAACCTGGGACCCTTCAGTCCGCAGGCCGAGGCTCTAACCACTGAGCCAAACCGGTTTCGGCTGGATGTCTTCTTTGGAAAATATTTATTCACTTCCTCTGCCCATTTTTTTGTTTTCTAAATCCTCACCCAAGGATATTTTTCCATTGATTTTTAGAGAAAGAGAGAGGGAAAGACAGAGAGAAATATGGATGTGAGGGAAACACATTAACTGGTTGCTTTCTGCGCACACCCTGACCAGTATGTGCCCTTGACCGGAGTCAAACCCAGGACCCTTCAGTCCACAGGCCAACACTCTGTCCACTGAGCCAAACTGGCTGGAGTTGCCCATTTTTTTAAATTGAATTGTGCTTGGGTTTGTGGGGGTTTTTGTTAATGAGTTGTATGAGTTCTTCATGTGTTTCAGATATTAATCCCTTATCCGATATACCGCATGTAAATGTTTTCTCCCATTTTGTTGATTGCTTCTTTTGCTGTGCAAAATTTAATTTATTTTTGTTGCTTCGTTCCTCTGGCTAAGACTTACAGTGCCATGTTGAAGAGAGTGGGAAAGGGACATCCTTGACTTATTCCCGATCTTACAGAAAAAGCTTCCATCTTTTTATGTTAACTCTGAGCTCTTCATACATGGCCAGGGGTCTTAGTTTTTAACAACAAATTATAGTCTGGAAAATTTAAGCTACTTTTTCATTTTGTTCATGTTTACCACCAAAATCATATCTTCTTTTTAATTCTCAGCCTTTATCTCTTTTTAAGTTAAATTTCATTTTGGTCAATATAATACATGTATATATAATTAAGACATCAAAAATACTACACAGTTCTCTAGAGGATCAATTTTATCAACTATATTACTTAGTTATATATTATATAACCATTAGCCATTATATGTATAAACAAAAGAATCGATAGCCAGACAGAAATAATTTTTTTTTATTTTTTTTATTTTTATTTTTTTTTAATTGCTTAAAGTATTACAAAGGGTATTACATATGTGTCTTTTTTTTTCCCCGCCCTTGACTATCCCCTGGCCTCCCCCACCCCCCAGCGTCCCATGTCCATTGGTTATGCATATATGCATGCATACAAGTCCTTCGGTTGATCTCTTATACCCCCAGAAATAATTTTTTTATAAATATATTTTTATTGATTTCAGAGAGGAAGGGAGAGGGAGAGAGAGCTATATGAACGTCAATGATGAGAAAGAATTATTGATCGGCTGCCTCCTACATGCCCCACACTGGGGATCGAGCCCACAACCAGGGCATGTGTCCTGACTGGGAATCAGACTGTGGCCTCCTGGTTCACAGGTCGACGCTCAACTACTGAGCCAGGCCAGCTGAGCCAGACAGAAATAATTTTGTAAATTATAGTAGAAATGTTTTTTCCTCCCCAAAATATATATATTTAATGTTATTTGAGTCTAAGATAAGAAAAATAAAACAGAAAGTTTTCTGGTGCCAAAAAACTGTGGATTGAGAACCCAATCCAGGTACCTTTTTTTCCTTTCTAGTCCCCCAGCCCTGTTCTCTTGGTGACTGTGAAGTCAGATTGCACCCTGTGCTAAGGAACGAGTGGAGAGTAACCTGGGTCGCAGCTATCTCTACCTGGCTGTTGATGGCCTACCCAATCGCAGCTGTGTCCATTATTTTACGGGCTCTGGGCCCTGAACTCTGCCACGTGGGCACTGAGAAGCCATTCCTTTCATGGTGCTGGTGCAAATAAAGTGCTCCAACTATTGTATGACCATAAGGATGGGAATTCTTCCCAACACACAAGTGCTCCGATGGCAGGCAAGCTGGATGGGGACTTACCTGGAATGTTTGGGGAGCTATTAAGAAGGGATTCTTTATCTGCAGGTCACTCATATGGCGCCAGGGGTGCCAAATTCAACAGAAGATACTTCACTAAGTTTACACAGCCGCTAGACCTGATAGTCAAATAGGATAAACCTGGGATTACTGCCTTGCTGCTTGTTTTTGCAAGTCCTTGACTTACCCATGATTTGCCACAATTCTGGCTCTTAGTCCCAACATTATTCTCCTGGGTGTCTCAGGAAAATGCCTATCCCAGTTCTACCTAGACCACCAACCAGCCTACTCAATTCATATAAGGAGGTAGCGCAGCGTGAATGTTAGATTTTCATTCTAGAGGCAGCTAATCTTGGCACTGAGTCCTGGATCTGGTGCTTAAGATTTGGTCCATTTTCTGCCGAAACCAGTTTGGCTCAGTGGAAAGAGCATCGGCTTGCGGACTGAAAGGTCCTGGGTTCGATTCTGGTCAAGGGTATGTACCTGGGTTGTGGGCACTTCCCCAGTGGGGGATGTGCAGGAGGCAGCTGATCGATGTTTCTCTCTCATCGATGTTTCTAACTCTCTCTCTCTCTCTCTTCCTCTCTGTAAAAAAATCAATAAAATATATTTTTTTAAAAAAGGAAAAAAAAAGATTTGGTCCATTTTCTCATCTACAAAAATGGGCTGATAGTAAGAATTCTTTTCACAGGTAAATTAATTAATGAGGAGAGACCCCTGATGAGCATTCATTGTTTTTTGGCCACTCGGCATCCACTCTCCATTCCTTTGAATTTCATCTTGTGACCAGTCCTGATGGAAATGAAAATCCAAGTGCCCTGTCCTTTCCTTCATCAAACTTGTCTGGATTCACAATAAGTCTGCTAAGGTGCTGACATCCCATGATGGGGATGCCTCCCATCTGCATTCCAGGTATTGTCACAGGACGATAAGCAGTACAGACAATATGTACTAGAGTCTATAAAGAATTTCAGAGGAAGGAAAGACCATTGAACTTCAACGAGGGGATCTGAGCTGGGTGTTGAAGAATTGAAAAATCAGGGTAGGCAGTGAGGAGAAGGGAAGACATTACAGGCAAAGGATAGAGGGATAGTGAGAACAAATGCAGTGATATATTTAGGGATAATGAATATGTCATTTTGCTGAAGCAGAAATTTGTTATAAAACAATGGATAATTTTTGAAAAGGTGGGTTGAAATAAATTTCAAACAAGAAATTCTAGAAATAGTCAAGTTGCAGATATTTCTTTCAAAAGAGATTCTCTTCAATATCATTGCCATCGTCTCTATCAGCAACATGAAATATGCTTCCACCTCTTCTGGAGGTAATTTGGAACTGTGGAGCCCTAGAGAGCATTCTGTGACCTTTGGAAGGGATATGTAGGGACTCATACATTCCTAGATAAAATTATTGTATAAGAATGACTTAAGGTTGCCCTTTTTTTGGTTGATTTTTCTTTGTTAAGTGGCATTTAAATATATAAAATAAATATCAAAAATATAAGTCTTTGTTTTACTATGGTTGCAAATATCAAAAAATTTCTATATGTGACACGGCACCAGAGTTAAGTTAGAGTTTTCCAAAATGCTGACACACCGATCTCAAAAGGTTCGCCATCACTGCCCTGGCTGGTTTGGCTCAGTGGATAAGAGTGTTGGCCTGCAGACCAAAGGGTCCCGGGTTCAATTCTGGCCAAGGGCACATACCTTGGTTGCAGGCTCCTCCCTGGGCCTGGGCCCTGGTCGGGGTTTGTGCAGGAGGCAACCAATCAATGTGTTTCTCTCACATCGATATTTCTCTCTGTCTTTCCCTCTCTCTTCCACTCTCCTTTATTTTATTATTATTTTTTTTTTTTGCATTTAATTTTCCTTTTACTCCAAAGGGCAGCTACTTATCCTCCAAAAGCAGCCATCACTTTAGAGGAATCCAAAAAGCATTAACTGCCAAAATGGTGAGGTGGCTCCTCTTCTTTCCCAAATCAAGTTATTTAGAATCTTGACCAAAGGCAAACACCACGAATGTTGAGCAAAGGTCTCCCCCTAAAAGCTCCTTTAGAATCAATAGAAAAATATCCTCAAATGAGGATAAAAAAAAAAAAAAAAAGAATGACTTAAGGTCATTCCAGAGTGGGTAGAATATTCTAAAAAGCAGCACCTGAAGTAGAAATGTCCCTTAGGCACTGATTGTACAAATTACACACAAGTAATTCCATTAGAAAGTTTAAGAACAGCTAATAACTTCCAAAGGCTTTCATTATTTACTTTCCAATAAACACAAGCTTTGGTGCTAGGCACGAAATGTCCACAACATAAAAACCTAACCGCGTGGTGAAACACATGCTTATCAACCCTGGGAACTGCCAAAAAGGCTATTAAGCCGGTGCTTTCTATGGTGATGGTCTCCGCCACCTGCCGGGAGCCACGGCATGTTCTGTCCTCATGGAGCAGGGAGAGTGGTGGTGGGAGAACGGAGGTTGGAGGTCCACCAAGCGGTGTTTGCAGGAAAGGAGGTCTGTTGGTTCCTGATAAGCTATAGGCACACCTGGGTTAAATGTTCTCCATTTGGAAGCCCTCATGATAACCAGCAGCCCGCACGGCATAAAAAGCCAATCCGGGCCCTGCTGGACCAGTACCGACAGCAGCCATGGCAAAGCTTCTTCTCCTCACAGGTGGGTGTGTAATCAGAGATGGCGCCTTATTCTGCCTCCGCTGATAGTGTTTTCTCTCGGGATCTGGCAGGTGGGAAGCAGTCTTCACGTTACACCTCAATCCTTTTCCGTTCTTTGTTCATCATTTCAAATTTCCAAGAGAATCCTGACATAGACAAGCCAGCCTACCTCTTGTTCTCTTAATTGATTCTGGTAACATTTCCACCGTCATTAATCCCATGGACCTAAAAGAAAGGCTGTTGTTTTCCAGTGTTTGTCTCACTCTCTCATTTCTGGCTGGGTCGTTCCTTTCCTCCATTCTTCTTCCTGCACGCCCTCTGTTTAATTGATATTATTTCTATGTACATGCTTGTGTCCTTGGTCTAGCTTTCAGGAGGGAAAATCAGTAGGAACTGAGACAGTTACGCAAGCTATCTTTTTCTAATGTTTTCAGAATTAGTTCTCTTTTATCCCCTAGTTTCCTACTGAGCAGCTGATGTATTATAAAAAATGTCACTGTTAGAGCTTGGCCAGCATGGCTCAGTTGTTGAGATTGACCTATGAACCAGGAGGTCACGGTTCGATTCCCAGGCAGGGCACATGACCAGGTCGCTGGCTTGACCCCCAGTGTGGGGCATGCAGGAGGCAGCTGATCAATGATTCTCTCTCATCATTGATGTTTCTATATCCCTCTCCCTTCCTCTTTGAAATCAATAAAAAAATATATATTTTAAAAATGTTACAGTTAGCAATTCAATTATTCAAAGTGGTAGATTCAGTAAAGTGTTTAGAACCAAGTTGCATCCATAGTTTATTAGATGCTCTCAAGCTGTGATATATATATACATATATATATATATATATATATATATATATATATATATATATAATGGTTTCAGAACCTTTTCTAAATGAAACCTCTAGCTCAATTTATAAAACAATCATATTGCAAGTACTTTGATAGAAGCCATGGAGAGGGATCTGGCGTCTGGCCTCACAGTTTCTCATTCTCTTCTGCAATAAGGGCTCCTAAAAGTTGGTTCAAACAAAAAAATTCCCAGGCTCCAAGAGATACTGAATTCATTTCCTTGTCTGTGGAAGGCTGTACTCATCCCAGTTCAGGGAGGTGAAGTGTATATGTACGTGTAGTCACTCAACAGGGTGAATTTCAGGTAATTGCCATCAACAGATCTTCCATAGATGATAGACTTGAACTCTGCCTTCAGTGACAGTTATCTGACATGGAAGGTGGACGAAGAGAGAGCCGTAGCCATTTCTGACTGAGAGGAGGGAAGGGTAGATCTATTAGTGATTTCACTGAGAAGCCTACTCTTTGGCATAACCCCTTAGTATCTCTTGGGCTGTAACAACCTCTGACAAATAGGACGGCATCCAAGTCCTCAGAATTAGATTCTACAGGAAAGACGACCGGTCCAAAGTACATGTTTTTGTTTTTATTTTTCCCCCCCTCTTCTCTCTCTAGGTCTGGCCCTTCTGGTGAATGCTCAGCTAGGTAAGTCCTGGATTTTATCTTTGGCATAATCTTTTCCTGCCATAAACCTCAAATTCTTATCTATTATTCCTATTACAATTATCTGCTGATATATGTGATTTTTAAATATTCCAATACTTTTTTCAAAAGTATATCAAGAGATAAGCCATACTAGGAAAGAGAGCTACGATCTACTTCATAGATGGGTGGGTTTGACATTGAGAAAATCTAGGGTTTAGGATTGGCTGCCATGTTGTCTTCGTCAGCATGGCCACCTAACAGTTAGAAACGAGTATTCACTGGGCTTCATAGGACTCCTGGGCATCTTTTCTTCAGTGGTGCCCATGTTTATACAAGATCTCAATATAAATTCATCAAAGTTAAAAATAGCCAACCCCCAGTCGCCCACTAGTTCCCAAGTCAGAATCCTTGAACTCATCTGCGAGGGTGCTCACACACAGGGACGGGGCATCTGAGGCAAAGGGAGGGAAACAAGAGGGCCAAGACCCGTGGCACGTTTCAGTAGCGTCCAAACCAGGCCACTGTCCTTACTCCTTACTGCCCACAGGCTCTGCCTACCAGCTGATATGCTACTTCACCAACTGGGCCCAGTACCGGCCAGGCCTGGGGCGCTTCATGCCTGATGACATCGACCCCTGCCTCTGCACTCACCTGATCTACGCCTTCGCCGGGATGCGCAACAACGAGATCACCACCATCGAATGGAATGACGTGACCCTCTACCGGGCTTTCAATGGCCTGAAAAACAAGTAAGAGAAGGGGGAAATATCTCATTGAGTATTTCTCAGTTCAGTACTTCCCAAACATGATGTGCAAGGGAATCATCTGGGGTCTTTCTAAAATGCAGCTCCGATTCGGGTGGGGACCAAGATTCTGCATTTCCAATAAGCTCCCTGATGCTTTTGGCCCAGGAGCCACACTTTAAGGAGCAGGAATATAGATAACACAGCACATTGCCTGCTCTAGCAGGTATTCGAAACATATTAGTTGCGTTTCGTCCTTTCATTGTCAATCTTTTTTAAGACCCAGGAAACTTCAAGCCATCTCAGCTACTTTCAGATCAGGAGGCAGAGGATATAAACGATTAGACATCGTCAAACCCAAGAGAACAGAAGAATTTGCTGTATTTGAATGAAGTTCTAGTTTGTGTAAAAAAACAAATCAAACAAACGAAAACCCTACTGTCTTTTCATTTCTGACTTGTTTGGTTTAGTTATATGTAGGAGAAGCAGCACTCCATTAGGAGTAGCACTGTTCTGGGTGCAGCTGCTCCAGGTAAGCTCTGATACCTAAGAGGAGATGAACCCTTTGGACCGGTGTTTCTGGAAATGTGGTCCATTTGACTACTTATATGGAAATCACCTGGGCACTTGATAAAAATGCCAATGCCTACCCAGTCCAACTGCTGCAGAACCTCTGGCATTTCATGGCGCCCTCCCACTCTGACCCTTGCACTTTATTCTTCCATAAACTGACGTTTGAGAATTACTATTCCAGAGAAGGCGTGTAATTCTGAGCCACATAGAAGCTGAGAAAGTAACTATGCTCAAGCCGCATTTACCACTTCATCTGATGGAATTGAATATGAGCACATTATGCTGACAGGTGGATAGATAAATACTAGTAGGTAGATCGATAGATAGAGCTATAGATATCGATATAGATAGCTACATATAAATATATATGGATATATATTCAAAAATATATATTCAAAAATGTCGCCAATTCATACTTTTTTTTAGACAACCCATTCCCATAATTTAGTTTTCCCCAAAGAGCCCCGAGTAAATTTATGATGATCACAACACAAGAATTGTTACAAAGCGCTCGGGAGTGGAGGAAAGTTGTTTTGCAATATAGCAGCATGTCAAGGCAAGGGCAAGGTGTAAGACGGGGCCCAAGACCAAAGCAATGCTAGTTTCAATAGAGAGGCTCATGGGTTTTGCAGTTTCTCTTTTCTATCCTTCGCTTTACAGGAACAGCCAGCTGAAAACGCTCCTGGCCATCGGCGGCTGGAACTTTGGAACTGCCCCGTGAGTCCCTATGGGAGAGGCCGGGGCTTATTTGCTATGGAAAACAAGGTAGCCCAGTGTGACCCGTGTCCCTTCAGACCTCACAGTCTAAGACAGGGTATTAAGGATGCACAACAAACAAGTATGCCGCTTAAATAAATTACTACACCAGAGCCTCAATAATAAATAGGATGCGATTGATTTTAGTTATTTAAGTGTGGGTGGGAATTCTGGCATCCTATTCATCAAGGTTTAGTTACTGGGATTGCAAAGCAATCTCCTTTTAAAGACTTTCAAGAGCACAGCCCCTGAGAAAAGTGTTGGAGCAATTTTCTCTGTTTGCCTTCTGCGGGAAGGGAAGGGAAGGGAAGGGAAGGGAAGGGAAGGGAAGGGAAGGGAAGGGAAGGGAAGGGAAGGGAAGGGAAGGGAAGGGAAGGGAAGGGAAGGGAAGGGAAGGGAAGGGAAGGGAAGGGAAGGGAAGGCGCGCAAATGAATGAGACGTGGCTGAGGGCACATGTGCTTGGGGGGCTATTTGGAGAGAGAGCACAGTGAGCTGTGAGCATGAGCAGAGGGAGGCAGGTGTTCAAGGCAACCAGCGCAACTTGGCAGAAAGGTCAGAGTTGGATCAATAAAATAGAGGCAACATTGAGGTACCATGGCTGGGCACAGCAGTGATTACAGTGTAAGGACAGGAGAAAACCAGGAACGTATTTTTATTTGGGCTGTGGATCCTGGTGAAGAGCTTTGAGGCAAAAATATGGGAGTTTGATATTACGACAAGGTGTTGGGACCACAGAAGCCAAGTCCTCACCCTGCCCTCTTGGGGTCTCCCGTAGTTTCACTGCCATGGTGTCCACTCCTGAGAACCGCCAGACTTTCATCGCCTCGGTCATCAAATTCCTGCGCCAGTATGACTTTGACGGGCTGGACTTTGACTGGGAGTATCCTGGCTCGCGGGGGAGCCCGCCTCAGGACAAGCACCTCTTCACTGTCCTGGTGCAGGTGAGCTGTGTTCCATATTATTTTAAAATTCAAATTCATTTTTAAATTCCAGTTTGCATTCAATATTCTTTAGTATTAGTTTCTGGAGAGCACACAACCCATTTCATATGCAAGATCACTGAGGCCATACAGAAAACCCAGCTCCCTGCAACCTCAGCGGGAAAGGAAGGACCTGGATGCCCTATTGCCGTGAGAATGCTGCAGAAGGAAAGATGAGCGATTGATTAAATTTAATTCAAAGAATAGTCATGAACGTCAACTTAGAGTTCACGTTCATAGACGTTCTCCTACTCTTGCACAGGAAATGCGTGAAGCTTTTGAGCAGGAGGCCAAGCAGGTCAACAAGCCCAGGCTGATGGTCACTGCCGCAGTCGCTGGTGGCATCTCCAACATCCAGGCTGGCTATGAGATCCCCCAGCTGTCCCAGTGAGTGACCACTTGTCCCCAGCTCCTCTGTGTCGCTCGTGTAAGAGACGCTCATCCTTAGCCTGTCTTGCTATTCAGGGACCTTGTTGAGGAGGCTTTGGGAGGGGTACCTTTGCCTGCAGAGGTGTGGGAGATGACCATCAGAGATGATTTTACCTGCTTTACCTGGACTGCAGGTACCTGGACTACATCCATGTCATGACCTATGACCTCCATGGTTCCTGGGAGGGCTACACTGGAGAGAACAGCCCCCTCTACAAATACCCGACCGACACTGGCAGCAATGCCTACCTCAATGTGGTGAGTCCCTATACAGACATATATACAGACCAGAGATGGTGTCCTAAATCACATGGGGATTTGGGGACAAGCATAGATTCTGCAGATGTCTCACTTGTTATAACTGTTCCCTTAAGTGGCTAATCAAATCTCGTCAACTATAATTCCACCAAAATGTGTTTTAAAAATACTAACAAATCCTCTGTCATTAAGATCAAACAAACAATTTGCCTGCTAGGACAGGGGTCTAACATCACCAAGCCCCGGGCCATCAGCCTGGTGGGGCCTCTCTCTAACCTGCTGCCATTGCAGGATTACATCATGAACTACTGGAAGGACAACGGGGCCCCTGCTGAGAAGCTCATCGTTGGATTCCCAACCTATGGACACACCTACATCCTGAGCAACCCCGCCAACCATGGGATCGGTGCTCCTATTACTGGCCCTGGCCCTGCTGGGCCCTACACCAGGCAGTCTGGGTTCTGGGGTTACTATGAGGTATGCTCCCGGCAATCTGAGAGAGACAGAGAAAGGCCATAGGTTTAACAATATAAACAATCCAACACATCTTGGCTCACTTATGTAGTTGGGGCTAGAAGTGGATGCTCTTGGCTATTTATAAGGAAGGCAAGATGAGCACTCATGTTGCACATTAGGCTGGATTCCAAATACAGAGAGAGTAGGAAAAAGAGATACCATCAGCGAGATTACATCAGTGAACAGACACTGCTCGCTGCCTGCCAAGGCATTCTTTGATTTAAGAGCTTCTCCCACATTGAAAATAAATGACCCACATGTGACAAAGGATCAAATCCTAAAGGAACTGAGAAATTTGCTTGATAGAGCTCTAGGCCTTCCTTTTCAAGTAGCTTCATGCATCCCTTCTCTATTTCCCTCCCCCATGCCCGTTACTCCTGCTACATGGACACTTGGCCCACCTCTTGACCTCTTCCTTACCTCCTCTTAGATCTGTCCCTTCCTGAAGAATGGCGCCACTGAAGTGTGGGAGGCTGCTCAGGATGTCCCCTACGCTTACAAAGGCAATGAGTGGCTTGGCTATGACAACACCAAGAGCTTCAAAATCAAGGTGGATTGTGTTCTATGGATTGTTGTTGCCTCTTTGTTCCCACCCGTAGCCCTGGAGCCCCAGGCTGGCCTTGATGTCTGCACTTCATTGGATTTCTCTGTAATTACCACAGGCTGACTGGCTGAAGAAGAACAACTTTGGAGGCGCCATGGTCTGGGCCATCGATCTGGATGACTTCACGGGCACTTTCTGCAACCAGGGCAAATTCCCCCTGACCACCACCCTGAAGGACGCCCTGGGCCTGCAGAGTGGAAGTGAGTGACAGCAGGAGGATGTTCAGGGATCTATAAACGCTCCTTCTCCAACTCAAAAGATAGTTCTCACATCTGCCCATCCCCATTGACCAGGGGGCATTTTCCCCATTTCATTTCCCTGCTTTTGAGAGATACGTGCTAAAGTCTTTCTCTAGCCTTGAACTTCCATGACAGAAATGTCATGCTCTTATGGGAAACCAAGCCTACCTGGGTGGGTTTTCCAGGTCTGCTGAGCCTTAAAGGTATAGCAAAACCTCAAGAAATGAGGCTGACCTTATAACATAAACATTTACTGCTCTATGATCCCTTTATTAAAAGTCTCTTTCAGCCCCTCTGGGGAGATTTAACAAGAAAGTGTTAGTAGTGCTCACATATTTCTAATCTGGAATTCAGGAAAATTATCAACTCCCTGAACTTTTCCCAGATTTTCTCTTAGAGCTTATTTGCTCAGGACTTATACTCAGATCCTCGACAAGTCTTTTTCACATTTGGGCGCTCGGTAAATTTGTTTTAATGATTTTGATATCGTCAGGGAAGATCGAACTTAATAAACTTAGAAACCAGGCTGGCTTAAAATGACAGCTTTCCCTACTGAGTGTGGAGCTATCCCATGACCCTTTCAGTTGTAGGGATCCAGAGCTAACTGGATCCAGGCCTCACCCCCAGGTCTACTAGTCTCTGCACCTCTAGGCAAAGCTCCTACCAGTCACTAGTCCGCTCTTGTGTCTTTCCAGGTTGCACCACCCCCTCTGAGCCCATTACACCAACAACTCTTGCTCCCAGCACTGGGAGCGGGAGCGGGAGCGGAAGTGGAAGTGGGACCGGAAGTGGGGGCACTGGCTTCTGTGCTGACAAAGCCGATGGCCTCTACCCTGTGGCAGACAACAGGAATGCCTTCTGGCACTGCCTGAATGGAATCACATACCAGCAGAACTGCCAGGCCGGGCTTGTCTTTGACCCTAGCTGTTCTTGCTGCAACTGGCCATAAACCTGACCAGTCTCCAATCCCTAGGGTTCTGAACAGTCTTCTTTCTTTATCTTGCTTCTAACTGGAGTTCTGCAATAAAATCCATCAGTCAAAACACAAGTGGCCTTGGTGTAAGTGATTTGGGTGGAAACCTCTCTAGATGTGAAAATGCAGGCTGTGCAAAATGGAGTGGAGGGGTGGAAGCGAGTGCGTGAGGACGTGGTGGAGATGACCACACCGTGCTCTGTCTGCCTGCGTGGATCGGCATGAAGGCTGGAGGCCGTCAGGTGGAAAGGTTTGAAGGTTTGGTGCTGGGATGGGATGTGGACATGACCAAGATCGGTCTGTCACCTCGTGACTGTCCTCAGGAAGGAGCCAAAGTGATTCTGTGAGATTAGAGGGCACAGGCCTGCTCATCTCACTCAGAGAGCAGAAGACCAGGGTATTCTCTTAACGTCTCCTAGGTCCCCAAGCTAGTCCAGCACCTCCTGGATTGGCAGCTTTGGGAAGACCTGTGCAGTGGACTCCTTTTGGGGTGTCTGCCCAGCCCATGGGACAGCAGTGTCCCTTTCTCAGGAGATTGCCCCCCTCCTTGAACCCATAGTGGTGGTCACCAGCCACTGTGCTTGCACCACATCATGTCCTCCCCTGGCTTAGCTGGTTGACTGGGGTGGACATCAGACTCCACAGGGCCAATCAGATGATCACCTCTTGGAATATGCAACAGGGAACAAGGACTGGTTGTTGGTTCCTGAGAGTGTCTGTGCCTGTAATGTGTCAGCTCTGGAGCTGTAGTGAGAGACTGAGAATGGAAAGTTGCCCTGGACACAGAGCAGGAACACTAACGGGGAACTACAGAGGAAAGGCATCATGAAGAAAGAACATTTAGCAATGGCTTTCCAACTGGATTCTAGCTCCTTCCTGCCTGTGGACTCTGTGAAACTCCCCTATAACTACATGGTAAATTCTTTGCTGCTTAAGATGGCTCAAGTTTCTTTCTTTTACTTGCAACTAAAAGAACTTTGACTAATAAAAAGGAATGCAATGGCTCCTGTTTTTTCCTGGCATGCTTCCTATAGGTCAAACTCTGTTTTAACTGTTTTTCGTGTATTTACTCATTTAATTCTCCCAGCAACCTTGTGAGGAATATACTAGTAATATGAATTCCAGGAGACTGAGGCACAGAGGAATTAGGTGACCTGCCCAACACCACACAGCTAATAAGGTGCAGAGCCAGATCCAAAGACAAGCCAGCTGGTTCCAAAGTGTCTGCATTTTACTGCCTCCTTTGGCACAGACCTCCATGTTTTCATGGTGAAAGGCAGCATTCTGGTAGTGATGAGGCACACACTCGCAGCCTTCTGGGTAATGACCATTCATGAGCTCACAGCACTTACTGATATTTACTTATTTCCCCCCCGTCCTCCTCCTCCTCTCCCTCCTCCTCCTCCTCCTCCTCCTCCTCCTCCTCCTCCTCCTCCTCCTCCTCCTCTTCCTCCTCCTCCTCCTTCTTCTTCTTCTTCTTCTTCTTCTTCTTCTTCTTCTTCTTCTTCTTCTTCTTCTTCTTCTTCTTCTTCTCCTTCTCCTCCTCCTCCTCCTCCTCTTCCTCTTCCTCCTCCTCCTCCTTCTTCTCCTTCTTCTCCTTCTTCTCCTTCTTCTCCTTCTTCTCCTTCTTCTCCTTCTTCTTCTCCTTTTCCTTCTCCTTCTCCTTCTCCTTCTTCTTCTTCTTCTTCTTCTTCTTTTTATTATTATTATTATTTTGGGGTAATCCTCACCTGAGGATATTTTTCCATTGATTTTTAGGGGTAGTGGAAGAGAGAGGAAGAAGCAGAGAGAAACATTGATGTGAAAGAAACACATTAATTGGTTGCCTCCTGCATGCAACCCAACCAGGGCCCAAGCTTGGGAGAAGCCTGCAATCAAGGTACATGCCCTTGGCTAGAATGGAATCCGGAACCCTTTGATCCGCAGGCCAACACTCTATCCACTGAGCCAAATTGGCTAGGGCCTTACTGATTATTATGTGCCAGCTTATGTTCTAGGTACTAAAGACAGTGGTCAAGTTTGCATTTTAGTGTAAGTGAGCTCGGAAGCCATTAGAAGGGCATAGCAGGGATGGAGGGGTGATGACAATTCAACATTGATAAAGGGGCGCTGGAATATCGTCACAGAACACAGGGAAAAAATGCTCACTATGATTGCAGCCAATGCATCAACTTCTGAGCCCTCACGTGACATGTCTTGGAAGTTGAAGACATAAAAATGGGAGACTAGGGTCCTCAATGAGTAGGTGAAGGCAAGAGTCAGTAAAATTGGGTATCGTTATAAATATAATTACATTTCTAGCCAAAGAATGGCAAGGCCTGGAGAAAAATTCACCTCTATGAGGACATGGATTTCTGTGCAGTGCTCTTTTCCCACTGCCTAAAGCAGTGCCTGACATATTACAAGAGTTTAAAAGGTACTTGTTAAATGAATAAATCAAAGAAGGCAGAAAGGGAGATAGGAGCTAACAAGCTCCTAGCTAACAATATCCATAGTGTTACGGGTGAGGAAACAGATATTGGATGGAAAACTTGCCCAAGATCATGTAGTTAATAATTAGCAGAGCTGCTTTTCAATGTTAGGCCTTCCCGGCTCCCTTTACACCACAATGTGCTGGTTCCAGGAGAGTCATGTCACAAAGACCTGAAAGGGGACTTCGAAGGTGGGGCTATTGCTTAGCAGCCAGTTTAGGTTCTAGCCTTCATTTTCTTGGTTGAAGTCCACTTATGAGAGTAGTGACTCATGGAGCTTAGGCATAAGAAAAAATGGACTTTAGAAAGTATCTTTCAGAAGGAGGTCTCGTCCAGAGATTCTTCTTTTAATTCTTCCACGACCTCGCTACCCCGTCTGCCTAAGAAAAGAAAGAAGAAAAAGGTGTTCACCCATCCATTACTTTGTCGCTTCGGTGATCAAGTCTCGAACACCAGTACGTTATGAAAACTCATTCTTTCAATGTTGGCGTCTAACTGGAAAGAGGTGGGGTATGCACAGGATTGCATCAGGACCCTGATCTGGGTTGGGGGTGGGGAAGTGTTCCTCTCACCAAGTCATGAGCTTTGACACAGGGTGGCACCCACCCAGATGCAAGGGCACTGGTTTTTTAATTTGTAGGAAGGTACCCTTGGAGTTAGCTGTAGCCCTGGGCATGGAGGTGATGGAATGGAAGTGCCTTGGACATTTGTTAAATTCCAACTATAGGTCAGTGCCTTGCTGTGCAAGATTTGTCCCATGGTGTCTCCTACATTCCATGGCAGCCTTAAGAGGCATGAATGGTTAGAGCCATTTTATAGATGAACCAAGGCTCAGGGAGATTGGGTAACTTCCACAAGGTCACGTTGCTAGTAAACGACTGACTAGGCCCTATTGGGAACCAGTTCTGAGTGGCTTCAAAGCCTGTGTTAATTCTTCTCCCCCGGGAAGAGAGTGGCTGCTATTTAAGAAAGACTGGAAGGTGGGACTGAGAAAATTTATTTTCCTCTCTTCCAAACTGGATACATCCGTCCTCTGGCAGAATCTGGGTCATGGGTTCTCAATCCTATTCAGACCCAAGTCCTGCTTTTGAGTAACAAATTATTTGTAACATTTTGAAACATTATTTTGCAATTATTTTACCCTAAAATCAAATTCATGGGTAGCAGTACCTACCACATATAATTTCAAAAACAACATAATGCCATCATTTTAATGTAAAGGAGAGAAAATAATTCTTAATAAAATAACATATAAATGCTCAGATATGACTAAGTTTTTTGTATTTTTTTATTGACTTGAGAGAGAGAGAGGAAGGGAGAGAGAGAAAGGGATAGGATAGAAACATCCATGATGAGAGAGAACCATTGACTGGCTGCCTCCTGCACATGTCCCTACTGGGGATGGAGCCCACAACCCAGGCACCTGCCCTGACCGGAACCGAACTGTGACCTCCTGGTTCCTGGTCTGACACTCAACTACTGAGCCACATCGGCCAGACAGATTTGACTACTTTAGAAGACAATGAAGTAGTCGGACTCTTGCACCATATAATGACTAATGAATAAGTACAGAATTAAGAGAGACGGTTAGATGCCATTTCATAGAAGCAATGTAGGAAAATGAAAGAGCAGAATTGTGGCTCAGTGGTTGAGCGTTGACCTATGAAGCAGGAGGTCACGGCTCGATTCCCAGTCAGGGCACATGCCCAGGGTTTGGGCTCGGTCCTGAGTGGAGGGCGTGCAGGAGGCAGCAGATCAATGATTCGCTCTCATCATTGTTTGTATCTCTCTCCCTTCCTTCCTCTCTGAAATCAATAAAAAATATATATTTTTTTAAAAAATAAAAGAGCAGAATTATAAATGGACACCTTCATCACTAGGGTTTATTTGTTTAAGGTCCCAACTACAAGCCCAAGGTGTTTTCCAGTTCTCCCTCCTCCAGGGTCAGCCTAATTTTTGCCCCCCCAGCTTTCAGACACTGTGCAAAGTTCTGCTCAAGTCTTCTGCTTTGCAGCCAGCTTTTTCATTAGCAAATATTCAGAGGGAAGAGCAGCACCAACTGCTGGGTTCAGCGCTGTGGGCTTCCCCTCTGTCTGGGAGCTCAGGTCTGCATGTTTTTTTCTTTTTTCTTTTTTAAATGTATTTCTTTGTTGATTTCAGAGATGAAGAGAGAAGGAGAGAGAGATAGAAACATCAATGATGAGAGAGAATCATTGATCGGCTGCCTTCTGCACACCCCCTACTGGGGATCGAGCCCACAACCTAGGCATGTGCCCTTGGCTGGAATCGAACCTGGGACCCTTCAGTCCGCAGGCTGACGCTCTATCCACTGAGCCAAGCAGGCTAGGGTGCATGTTTTTTCTTGCTTGGTATATCTCTGATGTCTTCAAATATTTTATTTAGTCTAGCTTTTTTTTTATCTCTTCTCAGCCAGAGGATTAGTTGGAAGCACACCAAATTGCCAACGAGGAAACAGGTTGTCATATGTTCAAAGTCCTTTGTAAGACATGTTTCATGTCACTAAAAGAAAAAAAAATAAACACGAATTTCAAATACACTGTGGGTACCTACAATATTAATTTTACCTGAAAT